GGGGGGCGGCAGCCCCCCCGTTTGGGTCCGGCCGGACTCCGTGTTGCATGTAACAGTATCAATCAATTTCCCACTGCGTGCTCGAGACGTCGGGCAAAAAGATGGACGAGAAGGGTATCGATCCCTTTACCTCTCGAAGGCCAGTGACGTCATCAAGACCTCATTGCGAATCGAGCGCTCTACCATTTGAGCTACACGCCCGTCGACGGTGATTTTGAAGTGTCCACTAGAAAATCTATAGAATCTAGTTGGGAAAAACTCACGTCATTTACATTACGGAGTTTGTGACCGGTACATTCTTTCCGATCCCTTGTTACAGATTGTTAACCTTGTGATCGGGGGGCTGCCGCCCCCCCGAGCCCCCCCGGCTCGGACCGGGGGGACCTTTGTTTCGTGAGCCTGAACACGGGCCAGCTTTCGATTTCACGCGCGCGGGCCGAGAAGGGGCGCCGGTTTCGCTTCCCTCGTACAACTCCGAGTCCTACCGTAGGCTCCTAGGCTCATGAGTCATGTCAGAAGCATGCCTTCTCGGGCTTCGACCATCATCACCTTATGATTATCATCACCGGCTGGACGAAGCGGGTGTCATACTGTCAGCTGAGTGCGTCATTTCGACGAAATCGAGGCAGCCACTCATATACTCACGACGCACTCTCGGGCCGGCCGACTAATTCGACAAATGCTGCCGCGGTGAAAATTTCCACAGGCCTGGCCGCTGCCTGATTGATCCCAACAGGGCCACATGGCCCTCATTTGCAGATGCAGTATATCGCGTTCAGGTGCACGCAATGACGCATATTCCGCTGTGACCGGCCGGAAGCTATGCATATGGCGCGATCGGCGGGTCTTCAAAGGAAGGCGAAGCTTGATGTGACTGACCTCGCTGACAGCAAGCAGGAGATGCTTCTGCTTTGATGTGACATTCAAGTACTTTAGGCAAAAAGCCTATCCTCAGCAGAGTAGCAGAGGTGGAGCCCTTGAAGTGCATGTCAGTGGAAGGGGCATCTTGAAGCAACGGCAATAGCTGGAAGATGTTCAGCATGCACAGTTCCTGATTGACCAGTCGTGTGGACTCAGGCCGTTCGCGCAGTTCCTCCAACCAGCTACAGAGATTCAAAGAGGTGGCGCATATTGAAGATTGCTTTTAGCTAGCTTAGCTGAACCGAAGTAAGGGAGCGGCGCTGTTCTGGAAGGGCCTCAACTAGGCAGAAAAGATAGCGCTCCTCCTTCAGGAAAGCGGCTTGAAGGTTTCTGGTGAAACCTCACTTAGAGTGTCCAAGATGAACGGGGCTAAGAGCACGTCCAGTGAACAGCCTGAGCTGCTAAGTGCACCAACTCAACAAGCGCTGCAGGAGATCCTCGCAGAGTCTCAATCACAGGATGTAATCACAAGGCTGTGGGCATTCGATCGCTTCACGCGTGTCTTCAAAAAGTTGGTCGGTCCAGACCCTGCGGAGAGCACCATGCATGCGGCCGCCAAGCTCTTGGAAAAGGGGTTCCTGAGACCAATCGCAGAGGGGCTGAAAGAGTGCGTGGACGATCCAATGAAGCTTGTGGTGGGGGGAGACAGCCCAGACGATTCTGACGTTCTTCTCATTCAGTCTGAGGTGTGCATCAAAGCACTCGAGTGCCTTGCCTTGGATTCCCGCGCCGTGAGGTGCATCCTGCAAGAGTTTCCAAGCCTGCCAGCTGTCCTTAAAATGCTGTTCCTCGAAGAGCTAACGCCAGCAGAGAGGGCATTGTGTCCAGTTGACATCAAAGTTAGGCGCGCAATCCTCCCGGCGCTTCCCAAGTTCTTCCTCGCCGACTCTATGTGCAAGCAGATTGGCAGAAGCGCGGACTTCCTGAACGCAGTCATGCGCCATGCGCTGAACCATTTCGAAGACTCTGTTACGGTTCTTGGTTCGATTAATCTCCTTCTGTCGCTGAGAAGTTACTTGAAAGCAGCGGCTCTGGAGGACAACCTCCTTCGCTTTGCGGGCAAGGTCCTTGCTTAGTCAAGCGATACGATGTTTATCAAGTTCACAATCAGCATGCTTCACGGCGTCGAACATGACCGCCTGCTTCCTAAAGGGTACCTCCTAAAACCCCTGGCCTCGAACTCCGCCCTCAGGTCTGCCGCTCTTGCCCTGGTGCTTTGTCCGGAGCAGTTAGACGATGACGGGTACTCCTTAATGGTTCTGCTAGCGAGGGCTCTCGAGTACGGCACGTCGGCTGCCCTTGCAGAGGACAAGTGTTCCCCGCCCGGCCTGACCATCAACGAAGACATGGAAAGACTGGCAAATGCAGATTCCATTGCACTCGAGCGCGCGCGCGAGCTGCGGACGCTCCTCGCGAAAGAAATTCCTGAGGACGGGCGCTTTACCGTGCGTTTCATCCGCCCAAAGGCCTCGGAAGGGCGCAGGATAAAGAGAGATTGCAAGAGGCGAAGAGAATGGGAATCAAGTGGGCAGACAGGAAGAAGGCGACGCAGTGCTCGGGGCCGGGGTGCGACAAGGCGGAAACTAGACCGGGGGAGTTCCAGACGTGCGGGGGTTGCAAGCTTGCGGTCTATTGCGGACGAGGTAAGAAGCTTTTTCTGGCGCTTGTTTCTTTCTTTACGAGGATTTCACGAGTCCTTGTGGTTTCTCGTAAAAGAAGAGACATCGCGCCAGCTGGTGGCTTCTGGGATCTGTTGGAGTCTCACGCTCCCAAAGCGCCATCTTGAGGATTCTTTACCCGCGTCAGACGTTCCGTGGAAATTGCAAGGAGGAATCTTCACGATGCTTTGCCCATCCTGGCACCCCTCCTGTCGGTTGCGCTCTCTGGATCTGTTTCAAGTGCTTTCGGTTTCTTTGAGGGTTTCTACGAGACTTTGCTAAAGTCTGAAACAGCAAACCCCGGCCCTGTAATGACGAAGCGGAACCAACTCGAAACGGATCGAAACTGTTGGGATTTTGATTTCCCTTCTCGGGATCAAAGCCGCCAAAGATAGTTCTGCAAGCTTTGAGTGTACGGTATACGATGTACATTGCCGACCTTCGAACCAGTAGCACTCATACGTACCGTTTAATGATTTCTACGTTTCGCAACAGAAAGCGTCATACTTGTAAAGAAGCTGCTGAAGAGCTGTTATCATGCCTCACGTGTTGTGCAGATTGCCAGCGGAGGGCTTGGAAGGCAGGCCACAAGGAGACTTGCCAGAAGACAGCTTGAGGAACGTTCAAGCCGATTGATTGTCGTAGATCTTGAGTAAGATACGTTGTCAGTGACAGGCTACGATTATACGGTTAAACATCCCGAGCTGTAATTGTTGACTTCAAGTGTCTCGGATTCAAGACCTGTTATGTTGATCGGTGCAACAAAATCAGAGCCTGATATTTGAAGGCAAACTGCATCAATGAACGGCATACAAACGGCCATTACTGAAGCTTGGTAATCGGACTGATTGATTCCCTTACTGCAGCAGATCTATTCCGACAGTCAAGATCATGCCTTGACAGGGATAAAGTACAGTCACTATAATGGACATTTTATACACGTTGATGTGTTACCGACTGTATCTCAGTATGCTCTATGCTCCTCGATCACACCGCCGCTGTACTTGATGAGATAACCGATCCTAAAACGTACCACACGCATAGCCTTTTAATTCCATCTCGCAAGCCTATGCTGCGCGGGGCCTGTATTAAAAGCACATGGAACCGCCTGGCACATGCTTAGAAGATGCTCGCTGCGAAAAGCGTGGTTTCCAGACTGAATCAAGCTGGTCGCACGTACTCAGTCTGACGTGCTGCGGAGACCGGATCTGCACGCGCGGGGGCGGCAAAGGTATTGGGGCTCGGAGCGCCACTGCCAGGTGGCGCCGGGGCGCTCGCTCGCTTCATCGCTTCCTCCTAGGCTCATGCATGGAGCTTCGAATCCATCGAAATGAAGAGTACGGGTGCAAGTGCGCGCCGCGTTCGATGACTCCTAGCTAAGAAGCAACTCAGGCGACACTGCTCAAAGAGAGTCTGCACATGATCATCGCTGCACTATTGAGTCGTTGTGTCAGTGGCAACTCGTGCCACTCGGCTTGGACATTGATTTGACGATCTCAGAAACTCGTCACAGAATATCGAGCTTCCGGAAACGGTTCGTCACCGCAGGCGCAAATCCGATTGAGAGCTATGACGTGACCGCCGGTCCTTTAGACAATTCCGAGACCTTCGAGACACTCGCGAGAGGCCGTTATAAAGCTATTCGTGAAGCTTGACGTGACCGTCTCGGAACACGCTAAAAGCACGAAAATGAGATGCTGTGATCTGATGTGACAGTAGGTTGCAAAACTCGTTATTAGCTTTTCCTCAGAAGGTGGCCTTATGCAGGTCCGTAGCAGGGGCGGCTTGATCAGGCAGAGGCGGTCGTTTTGAGCATGCACGGCGCTTGAATCAATTAGTCACGTACTTTTTTAAGCAGAGAGCCTCGACCAGCAAAAGATCAATCAGGTGCTTCGCAACATCTACTTTCAGAAGAATCAGAAAGCGCTCTTGAGGTCCTGGCCGATCAAGCAAACCGCAGCGCTTCTGCTCAAAGTTGGAAGACCTCTTATTCGCAGCCGGTCAGGCTTCCGGTTCTGAAATGGACGGGCAGAAGATCCCCTCAAAGGAACAGGCTGAGTTGCTCAGCGCACCGACCCAACAAGCGTTGAAGAAGATCCTTCAAGACTCTCAATCAAAGGATGCAATCACAAGGCTGTGGGCATTCGACCGCTTCACAAAGGTCTTCAAAAAGTTCATCCGCCCAGAACCTGCGGAGAGCACCATGCATGCTGCCGCCAAGCTCCTGGAGAAAGGGTTTCTGAAACCAATCGCAGAGGGGCTGAAAGAGTGCGTGGCCGATCCGTGGAAGCTGATGGTGGGAGGGGACAGTCCAGACGATTCTGACGTTCTTCTGATTCATTCCGAGGCGTGCATCAAAGCACTCGAGTGCCTCGCCCTGGATTCCCGCACCGTGAGGTACATCCTGCAGGAGTTTCCGAGCCTGCCAGCTGTCCTCAAAGCGCTGTTCCTCGAAAAGATGACGCCAGCAGAGAAGACCGTGTGTCCAGTTGACATCAAAGTTAGGCGCGCAATCCTCCCGGCGCTTCCCAAGTTCTTCCTCGCCGACTCTATGTGCAAGCAGATTGGCAGAAGCGCGGACTTCCTGAACGCAGTCATGCGCCATGCGCTGAACCATTTCGAAGACTCTGTTACGGTTCTTGGTTCGATTAATCTCCTTCTGTCGCTGAGAAGTTACTTGAAAGCAGCGGCTCTGGAGGACAACCTCCTTCGCTTTGCGGGCAAGGTCCTTGCTGAGTCAAGCGATACGATGTTTATCAAGTTCACAATCAGCATGCTTCACGGCGTCGAACATGACCGCCTGCTTCCTAAAGGGTACCTCCTAAAACCCCTGGCCACGAACTCCGCCCTCAGGTCTGCCGCTCTTGCCCTGGTGCTTTGTCCGGAGCAGTTAGACGAAGACGAGTACTTCTTGATTGTTTTGCTGGCGAGGGCTCTCGAGTACGGCACGTCGGCTGCGCTTGCGGAAGACAGGTGTTCCCCGCCCGGCCTGGGCATCATCGAAGACATGGAAAGACTGGCAAATGCAGATTCTTTTGCACGCAACCGCGCGCACGAGCTGCGGACGCTCCTCGCAAAAGGGTTTCCCGAGGACGGGGACTTTACCGTGCGATTTCTGCGCCCAAAGGCCTCGGAAGGAGCGCCAGGGAAACACATTTTGCAAGAGGCGGAGAAAATGGGAATCAAGATGGCAGACAGGAAGAAGGCGACGCGATGCTCCGGGCCAGGGTGCGACAAGGTGGAAACTAGACCGAGGGAGTTCCAGACGTGCGGGGGTTGCAAGCTTGCGGTCTATTGCGGACGAGGTAAGAAGTTTCTCTGACGGTTGTTCACCTTTGACGAGAATCTCATGACTTTCTTGCGGGTTCTCGTGGAAGGAGAAATACCTCGAGCTCTTCAGCTCGTCCGCTTCTCGTGAATCTGTGGAAGTGTCACGATGTTTCAATGCGATCTCGAGGATTCTTTACATCCTTCAAAGTTTTATCCTTTGACATTGCAAGGAGGAATGATTTGCGATGCTTTGCCCTTCCTGGCACCCCTCCTGTCGGTAGCGCTCTCTGGAACTGTTGTTCAAACTTTTGGATTTTATCGAGAGCATCTACCAAGCTTTGCTTAGATTTAGAACACGATCCCTGTACTTAACGAAGCGGAAACAGCTCGGACCGGACTGAAACTGTTGGGACCCATCTTTCCTTTCCGGGGATCAAACTTGCCGAATAAACCTGCAGTCCAAACTTTGAAAGACGGTACGGGCTACGGTGTAAGTTGGCGACCTGCGATCCAGTAGCACGCGCAATCCCCGTCTATTTCGATTTCTAAATTTCGATTTCTAAACAGAAAGCTTCATATCTGTATACAAGATGCTAAAGAGTCTGACCGTTATACCGCCTCTCGTGTTGTGCAGATTGCCAGCGGAGGGCTTGGAAGGCAGGCCACAAGGAGACTTGCCAGAAGACGGGTTAAGGAACGTTCATTTGGTGGATTCTCCTGAGTCTTGATTGAGTAACGTTGTCAGTATCAGGCTTGATATGATCAAACGTCCCCAGTATTTGTCAACTTCAAGTGTCTCGGATTCAAAACTTGTTCTGTTGATGATCAAAAGAACACATTAGAGCCTGATGTTCTAAAGGCGAACTGCACAATGAACTGCATACAAACGGCCATTACTGAAGCTTGGTTATCAAACTTGCCTACCGCAGCAAATCTATTTCGACAGTCAAGATCATGCCTGACAAAGATACGGTACATGTCACTAAGATGGTTACTTGATGAACAACGATGTGATATCGACTGTTTCTTGGTGTGCTCCTCGATCAGATCGGCGCTGGAAATGATGAATCAAGCGATCCTTGGAAACATCATGGTACCAACCGCGTACACGCTTAGCCCAATCCATCTCGCAAACCCCTGCTGCACGGGGCCTGCAAGTGAAGCACATGTAACCGCCTGGCACATGCTAGAAGATGCACGCTGCGAAAAGCGTGCTTACCAGACTGTGTCTGGTCGGACGTACTCCATCCATCTGACGTACTGCGGAGACCGGAGCGGCGAACGGAGGGGGGCTCGGGGCGCCTGGTGGCGCCGAGCGCCCGTTCGCTTCCTCCTAGGCTCATCCATGGGGCTTCGATTTCATCGAAACAGAAATGCAGGCGCAACTGCGCGCCGCGTTCGATGAATCCCAGCTAAAGACGCAACTCAGGCGACACTGCTCCGTGGAGTCTGCACAAATCCAACATTCTTGAGTGACTCGTTGTGTCAGTGGCAACTCTTCTTGACATTGCAATAAGATGATCTCGAAATGTCGTCACAAAATCTACAAGAACAACCGTGCACCCAGCACGCGAACGTGACATTCGGGACTGATCTTACGGTAAGACTTTCTGAAATACGTGCGAATGGACATTGCTCAGGGCGAAATTTCTGGTTTGGAGGAGATGGAGGCCTCTGCGGAGCATGTTCATTGACATTTTTGCGGCGGCTGATCGAGGCGGCTGATCGAATCCTCAGCATGCAAACTGGCGTTTAGTGTTGGCATATAGAGCAACCAAAGAAGATGCAATTAGGTGCTTTGCAACATTGATTCAAGCGCGCGGAACGGAAAGGGAGGAAGCGCTCTTGAGGTCCTCGATCAAGCAGAAGAAGGAGCGCTCCTCCTTCTGGGACGCCTCTCAAAGTGCGCTCCTCCTTGTAGAACGCCTATCGAAGCGGCTTCTGCTTTCCGAATTAATTGTCCAGGATGAAAGGGCCGATTATCACTTCCAAAGAACAGCATGAGTTGCTCAGAGCACCGACTCAACAAGCTTTGCAGGCGATCCTCCACGACTCTCAATCAGAGGATGCAGTAACAAGGCTGTTGGCATTCAAGCGCTTCACGGGTATCTTTGCAGATTTCAGCCTGAGACCAGATCCTGACGAGAGCACCGTGCATGTGGCTACCACACTCCTGGAGAAGGGGTTTCTCAGGCCAATTGCAGAGGCGCTTTTGAAGGAATGCGTTGCCGATCCGTGGAAGCCTCTGCTTGGCGGCGAGAGCCAAAAGGATACTGGCATCCTTCGAGTTCGGTCCGGGGTGTGCATCGAAGCACTTGAGTGCCTTGCCTTGGATTTACGCACCAAGAGGTTTATCCTGCAATAGTATCCAAGCTTACCAGCTGTCCTCAGAACACTTTATCTCAAAGAAATGACGCCAGCAGAGAGGGCTGTGGGTTCAGCTGACGTCAGAGTCAGGCGCCTGATCCTCCGGACGCTTCCTAGGTTCTTCATCCTCCAATCTGTGCGAGAGCAGACCGGCAAAAGCACGATTTTCCTAAATGCGGTCATGAGCCACGCGCTTAACCATTTCCAAGACCTTGCAACTCTTCGTGGCTCGACTGCCCTCCTTCTGTCATTGGCATTTGCCCTGAGCGAACCGGCTCTGGAGGACAACCTTTTTCGCGTTGCGGGCAGAGTTCTTTTTGAGTCGAAGGATACGATGGTCATTAAGTTCACGATCACCATGCTTCGCGGTATTGAGCGCACCCGCCTCGGCATCAAGGGGTTCCTCTCCAAACCCCTGGCCCCGAACCCTACCCTCAGATCCGCCGCTCTTGCTCTGGTGCTTTGCTCGGAGCAGTTAGATGACAAAGACCGCTCTTTCATGGTAGTCCTGGCGAGGGCTCTCGAGTATGGGACGATGGTTGCGCTTGCGGATCCGGACAAATGTCCCCTGCCTGGTCTAAGCAGTGAAGAAGACATAAGAAGACTGGCGAATGCAGATCCCTGTGCGCGCCAGCGCGCGCACGAGCTGCGGACGCTTCTTGCGAAAGGAGTAGATGCGGACGGTGACTTCTGCGTGCGCTTCGTGCGCGCAAATGCCTCGAAAGATGCGGGGATGGTGGAGCAGGAAGTTGAAAAGATGGGGATCAAGCGGCAACACAGGAAGATGGCGACGCGGTGTTCCAGGCCGGGGTGCGACAAGGTGGAAACTAGACCAAGAGATTTCCAATTGTGCGGGAGTTGCAAGCTCGCGGTCTACTGCGGAAGAGGTAAGACTTTGTCTGGCGGTTCCTACCTTCTTTGATTCTTCCTTCAAGCATTCGTGACGCCTCCTTGGTCACTTTGTGGATGCAAGACGGGTCTCGTGCGTTGGGACAGTTCCGAAGCGCGATGTCAGGAAGTATGTTTGCAGGCAAGCTTTCCATAAGATTACAGGGGCCAACAGGTTGCGATGCCTCGCCCCTTTTGTACCCCTCAGTGTCAGGTGCATTCTGTGAGGTTTCTCCGAGATGTTTTCTTTCTTCGCTCTCTTCAAAGTCGTTATCTTTGCGGAAAAAGTTTTCCGTTCATGCTGACATAGAACCAGCTCGAAACAGATTGAGGCAATGAGATATCGATGTATCTTTCACTCCTGGAGGAATGGAAGAATGTCCCATGATTGAGAGAACGTCGGCCTTCGCGTCGCATCAGCCTGCTTACTTGTCCTGGATGTTTGAGTACTACCTCGTCTAATCAAGCGTCGTAAATTTAGGAAAGGGTGCAGTAGCTCATCATTCTCGTGACTGTCCTTGTATCTTGCAGAATGCCAGCGAAGGGCTTGGAAGGCAGGCCACAAGGACACTTGCCAGAAGACAGGCTGATGAGCTTTGAAGACGGGTTTGAAAGAGATCGAGGCCGCTGTCCTCGTTTCAAACGATCATGAAACATTTCCAGACGTCAGGGTTCAAGTTTGTTGCAGTATGTTGGGAAGGGAAGTTCTGCAATCAGTAAAACGCATTTGTAGGACGCGAGAGGACATTGTGCAACTGTGGCTAGTACGTGTCACAGTATACTCAGACCAAGCGTAGCAGTTGGGATATACGTATAGGCCACCGGCAGCCATTCGTGTCATTCACCGTGTCATGCTATGCAATCTTTGAGCCTGTACATCACACATGATCGGACCGATTGAAGGACACATGCATCGATCTGACCGTTTCAATGCAAATGTGACAGCGAGGGCTGCAATCGATCTAGATTGGCGATCGTGACAGCTGCTAATTTGGACGGTACTAATCTCTGAATGCGACTGAACGCGGGGTCACTGCATGCCCGGTGTGCAACAAGCTCATACCAGGAGGTATTGAGTGGCACACTGACAGGCGACGGTGGCCCCTTGAGTCTGCAGGCCCCCCATGCGTACACACAATCAAACACTGATCATGGGCATGGGCAACTTATATTGCATTTAAGGGAACAATTCACTGACAAATTGTTGAATGACCCACCGAGCTGTCAGCGGGTATAGACACGTTTAGCTGGCAGAGACCAGATTTTAGCTCATGCGTAAAGGGGCAAGCCACAATTGATTTTCGACTTCCGCCGCATCGCTGATAATGAATCCTGTTCTGAAAAACTGTGAGCCAATGAACCAACGCTGGCCGAATGAGTACAAGATCACTGCGACAAGCGATTGAATCGAACCTCGACATACGTGCCAGTGCCCAAGCGATCTCCACTCTAAATACAATCCCTGTACTTCTTCTCCCGTCTACTTTTTCTTCCCACCGCGTTCCTTCAGCGACAGCACAAGCATCTCCCCATCGGCGATATTGTAATATCCGAGCGTTTGCTGGTCCTTGAGGAAGCCCGCCCGGCCGCTGATCTTCTGCTTCGAGGGGGGGACGTTCACCAGCTCCGCCAACTGTTGCTTCAAGCCCCCCACAGTCTGCTGCCCGGATGAGACACTGAGAGTGCGCGTTTGGCCTTCGGTGCCCGGTTGATCGTCGCCCAGGGCTGGCAGGGTTATCGTCACCGTTAGTGGGCCCTGCAAGAAACCATTAGAATACTTAAACGAGCCGGTTGTCGAAGTGAACGGGGACGACAAGAGCGAGCTTGACGGAGATGATCATCAACGACTCTCAGTCAAGGAGTCTGACGCAGTAGACGCCAGGAACAAAAAATGAAGTACGTATACGATGCACGCGTTTCAGATTGGACGCCCTGTGCCCCCAAACAACTAGACTACTATCTGAGCGACGAGACGAAAAAGCAACGGCTGATGGTTTTAGATTCTCAAAGATGGCACCCAACTAAGTACTGGGACGGCAAAGGAAAAACCCTAAGACCTTTCTTGGAAACCCAACTGGCCCGCAGCAGCAGAAGAAAACAGTTGACGGACACAATCAAGAGCTTCTCACCTGATGCTTCGCCAGCCACTCCCCTTCCGGCACCAGCTCCACCTCCTCCTGCACTTTCTGCCGCTTCGGTTCCGGCTCTTCCGGGGGCGGGGGCGGCATCTCCCGGGGGGGCGGCCGCGCCTGCGCCATGGGGGGGGGTCCCGGCATCGGAGGCGGCATCGACATCGGGGGCCGCTGCATGGGCGGCCGGAAAAGCGCGCTCTGGGGGGGTAGCGGCGTGCGAACCACCGGCGGAGGGGGTGGCATCTGCAGTTGCTGCGGGGGGGGCCGCATCGGCATCTGCATCTGCTGGGGGGGTGGCGGCGGGAGCTGCATCTGTGGGGGGGGTCGCTGCAATGGAGGCGCCATCTGAGGGGGGGGTCGCTGCACCACAGGAGGAGGGGGGGGCGGAAGCGTCTGCGCAGGGGGAGGTCTCGCGGGCCTCGGGATGTTGATCGCGAGGTTTGGCGGCGCGGGGCGCGGCGCGGGGGGGAGGTTCATTTTCGGCGGACCCGGGGGGAGCGCCGCGGGGCCGGGAAGGGCGCGCCCGTCCTGGCTGACGTTTGCGCGCTCGCGGTGGATCTGCGCGATCTGCTCGTCGATCGTGAGCTGCTGTTGTTGCGCGAGGGCGGCCGTCGTGACGCGGCCGATGGTCGTCGCGGAGCCGTCCCAGATGACGCGCTGGCCGTCGGGGGCGGCCTCTTTCTGGGCCTTCTCGACCTCCTTGGCCACCGCGTTGGATACCTGGAAGGATCGAGAAGGATGGTTCTTTGTACGACTGCAAATTCGAGGAACGTTCTTTGTCTTGCAAATTGTAATGGTTTGGACTGCGGTTCGAAAAGGTCCTCTATCTTGCTCCAACATGAAAGCTGAGGGAGCGGAACTGGCAGCCGCTGAGCAAACTTCAAAGTCTTGAAAGGTTGAGGAGCACAGAGAGAGCACCAAATGCCCCGCCCAAGAAAGATAGAACCGCTCAGGACCCTTCTTTCGCCTCGATTCGCGTGAGCACGCTCGAAAGTCAACTCCATCAAACAAGGCACAACACTGCTTTACGTCAGCCACGCTTTCTGTCAATTTGATTGTCAACTCGGGTACAGAGGGCAGACACTGCTTGACGTCGGCCTCGCTTGCCTGATCACGTTAGACCAGAGAAGTAATGAAAGACTTCGACCCTTGAACCCCTTGCTGCTTAGACCAATTTCGACGGAACACAAACAACAAATTGCTACCTCACCTCCTCGTCCGTCGTGCCAAAGATATCCGGCCGCGTGCGCGCCAAGTTCACCATGTTCTTCGCGATCTCGTCGTCGTGCGCGAACGTCGTCTCCTTGATCTTCGCAAGCATGCGCTCCTTCTGCTCCTTGTACTTCGGATCAATCAGCGAGATCCGCATGTGTTCCGCCATTTCCGCCAGCGGAATCAGCTCCCCCGTGATGGGTGACACGACGAACTTCGTCGGGTCGTGCTGCTCGCGCGCGCGCTCCTCGGGGCGCTTGTAGTCCCGCACGATCTTAATTGGCGCGTCTTCTTCCTCTTCCGGGGGGGTGGGCGGGCCCTCGTCAGCGCCCTCGTCCATTGCTTCGTCTGGCCCCTGGAAAGAAAAGGAAGCGGATTTGCGTGAGATGGACTTCACTGAAAGCGGACTCTACGATAGATGAATGCCAAGAATTGTGCCAGGAGATACGTGGAGGTACGAATTCTGACGGGCTACGTTTGCCCTAATACCACGTTGGTCAGAACTTGCACATCCTGCTCGGCTCCTGGACAGAAGGATGCAGCGGTTTTGGGCGGCTTACTCTGCAGTACATTGCCTAGAGGCCGAAACCTTAGCTTCCATCAGGAGACTATGTAATCAAGAGAGGACTAGAACTGTGAGAGAAGCACGTTCGATTGAAAATCGTGTTGGTAAAACTTCCTCTCCCTATCCATTCTCAGAGAGCTCTTGACGTCATGTTCGGCCCCTGCAATCTGGTGATTGTTATCTTTGCGCTGCACGGTTGGCATCTTAGCTCAAACTCAACATCTCCTGGGCCCTTTCTTACGGCAGCCGAGGCCCCTGCCACCCAAAATACAACGACGTAATCTTGCAAGAAACGACGATGTACCACCCACGAGGCGTACAAGCAAACGTCTCGCTTCACAAAAGCAGGTCCCGCACCTTCTCTCCCTCCTCGTCAATCGCCGTCACCCGCATGCCTTGCTCGACCAGTTCCATCTCTTCTTCGTCCATCTCCACCTCCATCTCCTGGTCCTTTTTGGGGACGCCCTCCGCCGCAGCCTCCTCCTCTTCCTCCTGCAAAGAAAGGAGTGTTCCAAAGCAACGGTTTTTGTTGAAGCCTGCACGCGGAGTTTGATTTTTCGAAGTAATACGGGGACCTTTGGGATGTGGTTTAGAGATGAAAGAAGAGAAGAGCATCAGTACAGGTTGACGAGCAAAGCTCTGATCTTCCAAGAGTGACGAGCTACAGCAAGATAGAGCACGTGAGTTTCATACTGACAGCTTATGGTCTTTATAAAATGTGGACGGGCCGGGCAACACAAATGCAGGACACTGACAAAAAGCTCTGCTTTGAAATCGAGTGGCCAACTTGGCAGCAGGTTCTTAGAAACTGCTAGATATTCGATGACAGAGTCATGAACAGCACTTGATTGACAAAAGCATGATCCGTAGGATGACGTGTTGGAACATACACCCACTCAACATTAGTAGGAACACAGCACTCATAGAGCATCTGATGCCAGCCCGCCTTTCGTTCTGGCCACAAAAGCCCCAAAGAGGCAAATTTTCCATGGCACCAAAGGGATTCCAAACTAGCCCCTATGCTGTCCTGAGCTCGAAACAACTGGCGCTCAATTCGAAAGCACACCCAGATATTGCAGAACCAATGGAGGGAAGCAGTGAACTCGAAAACACGCCCACCTCTTCCGCCAGCCGCTTGGCCTTGCGCACCACCTCGTCCAGGGTTTGCGGCTGCGGCAGCGCCTCGTCCTCCCCCTCATTAAAATCGATCGTGGTCACAACAAAGAAGTCGTGCCAGTCAATGAGCGCCATCTGGGTGCGCTCCCTCTCGGCCGCCTCCTCTTCCTTCCGCCGGCTCTTGAGCTGCACCTTCTCCCATTCCAACCGCTGGATGCACCGCTCGAGCACCGCTTGCCGGTTCGAGGCGTCCCTTTTCAACCTGTCCTGCAAACCCTTCGGCGGCATCAGGACCTTTGAGTAAGCGTCCGCTAACGTGGTAAAAAAGCCGAACAGGCTGTGCGTCGGCTTCAGGAAATAGAACTGCGGGTTGTTGTGCTCGCGCTGAGTCAGGCCAGAGAGGAAGCTCTTCCCGTTCCGCGCAACGAACTGCGCTGTTAGTTTGATAACATCTAAGTCGAGCCCCGAGATCCCATCTGGTATCCGCACGGAGTACTGTTCCAACTCGGGGGGCACTAGCTCTTTCTTCGGTGGAGGCGCTTCCTCCACAGGCGCCGCAACCGGAGCGGCCACCGGCACCTCGGCAGCCCGCGCAGTCCCCTCCTGCGGGGCTGCCAATTGCTTCTTAAACTCGTTCACTCTGTGCTGGTAATACGCGTGGTAGTAATCGGTGGCATTCAGGAAGTTGAACTTGACGTTGTTCTTCTCATTCGCAAGGATCCGCTTCTCAAACTCCGGCCCGTTCTTGGCCACAAATTGCGCGGTCTTATCCACGATGCTGCGGATGTCTGCAGGCGGCCGGATCATCCCAACCACTTCCGTCTGTGTGGGGACGATCTCAACCTTTTTAGGAGGGAGAGCTGCGGTGGTACCATTCTGGTCCCCCGCCGCAACTTGCGATGCAGGTAACGGCCCTGACAGGCTGCCCGCCTCGGGGGCGGGCAACCGCATGATCGTCTCAAGGGCCGGCATCCTGGCGCCCCAGAAAATGTACCCAGAACAGCTTAAAGTTACAGCTGAGCTCTAAACCACAATTTCAAAGGGCTACCATGAGCGTACCTCCTCACTGATCATTGGCTTTCAACTCGATAAAGCAGAATACAATGCCTCCTGATCAGCGCACGAATGCGGTGTCGGAGGCCAAGTGGACACTTGCTCTTAACTGCCCTCACCAGCCACAGCAATGACTACTGCATTCCACCTGCCACTGCAAGGCTTGAGAGGCGCCCTGCCGCTTTGCAGGAATGCAGCACCTCCTGCTGTACAGTGATTCTGGATGCTTTGCAGAGAGCTCTGACTCTTGAGTCTGTGCTCTGGTGCCAGATCGAACTCTGCGCACAAAGAATACTCGGTGGCAGCACAGGAGAAATGGGACTCCGAAGAACCCGTTTGAGTGAACATTTTCGATGACAAGATTCCACAACAGGTATTTTCCTGACAACAAACTGAATTCGTCGAAACATGCCCTGACCAAACCTCCAGATCGAGCACTGCGGATGCTGATCAAACCTCGAAGACTTCGTCTCTCTGGCCCTCTTTCGGCCTCCTCCCCAACTGAGCGCAGGACGCAACAGGGCCGGCGGGCGACGCGTCTGTCAAGATGGTGGCCCCCTTGGTGAAGCACACGATTGTGAAGAAGAGACTCAAGAGGTTCAAGCGTATGCAACATGACAGGAAGATTGCTGTCAAGGTGAGCGGGTTTTTTTTGTATTTTTGCTTTGTAGCGCACATTCATGAAGAGGGCAGAGGCACGGGCAGCGCGGTAGAGGCACACGGTTGAAAAGTCATCTCGATCCCGAGTTTGCTAGTTGCAGAGCGAAGTTTTTAGAGTAAACTTTCAGCAGCGGGGCGTACACTGTCTTTCTTGTGATGGTAATGGTCTTTCAGATTTTGTGGGTCCACAAGGTGACTCTCGTGCACCGAGAGCATTAGGTAAATTCTAGTATTTCAGAAGAGCTCATAAGGAGGGGTTTTTTGTGTGCAGCCGAGCTGGCGCAGGCCCAAGGGTATTGATTGCAGAGTGAGGCGGAAGTTCAAGGGCGTTACGCTGATGCCCAACATCGGGTACGGGTCGAACAAGAGGACGAGGCACACCCTCCCCAACGGGTTCAAGAAGTTCCTGGTGGCCAACGTGGCGGAGCTGGACCTCCTGCTTATGCACAACAGGTGAGGGTTGCAGGGTTAGACCATTACCATACTTGATGGAGGCGGTATAGCTCTTAAGCTGTGGGTATGAGCACGCTTGGTGCGTCCGCTTGTTTTAACACCAGCGATCGCGTCCTCTGATGGTTGAGGTGTTGAAGATGAGCATGCAGTTGCTAGTTGCCAGGAGCACAAAAGCTAGTTTGTCTGGGCAAGCAACTGGGCAGTATTCGACGATCAAAGAGAATCTCAACCACGGGCTTTTCGCGCAAGTGCGCAAATATAGTGTCTTTGCACAAGCAATTTTAAGATGAGTTAGCCTCGAGTAGGCACTTTGCTGGCGCCTGCTCATCCGCAAAGTTGATCAGTCTTGTCACTGGTCATTAAGCCTTAGAAAATGCAGAGGGCTGAGCTGTTCAATAAGGAGATTACCAAAGCACTGTCTCGGCAAGTTGAGTAGTAATGTTACGCGCACAATCCTCGTGCCCTGAGATCCGCTTACTCCATAGCCTGGAAAGTGCCGAGCAACTTACGATAGATTGTTCCTGTGAGCTTTTCATCAAGGTTTAGAGAGCTGTCGGCACCCGCCCGCGACACAGCAATTTGGCAGATTCATTGACGAGATATGCGCATCTTGTCAGGCCAGTGAATCTAAGGCCGGGGCAAACCAAGGAGCAATTTAAGTGGGTCCAATCAATTGGCAGTCCCAGTTCTGAAGAGGGGCGGGGTTTGGGGGGACCAGAGATAGATAGATTTGCTGAATTGCTGAGCGATTTTAGTTTGTGGGGTCCTTTGCAACTTCCTTGAAGTTGTCCGATTTGGAGGTCAATTCAGTGATTAGGTGTGAATGGACTAAGCCTTGCCCAGTCCCTTACTGTTGTTGTATGGAGGATCGTTGATATGGAAGGGTTGAACCATGTACTTTCCTTTTGGTGGTTGATATACTTGGCTAGGAAGTCTGGCAAAAGGTCATTGATCCGTATTAGTAAGTATTCTTCAACTGTTTCGGCAAGATTGAGTACCGGGCATCAAGCTTGGTGCCCTCAGTACCGTCCGGACGGGACGGTGTAAAAGTTAACCTTTTACTTCAGGCCTTCGTAATTCCAACAAAATGGAACCTCACAGGGCTGCCTTTTTACTAGTGTTCAGAGGTCTATCCCCGCCGACCAGGACAGGCAAGCTTGATTGTCCTAATCTGTTGGATCGATGGTTGATTCAGAAGATTAACCGGCGCCTTCCCTTCTTTGCAGGACATACTGCGCCGAGATTGCTCACAACGTGTCCACCCTGAAGAGGAAGGCCATCGTAGAGAGGGCTCGGCAATTGAACATTGCCCTCACCAACGGTGCCGCCCGCCTTCGCAGCCAGGAGGACGAGTAGACACAAGCACCCATGTACAATTCTGAATACTGGTTCCTTGCCTTGGGACGGCCCCGCTATAATCACGTTGCACTTCTGGCACAAGTCATCGTCATGATCCCAGCAGTCGTTCAAATTTCACTTAATTGATCCCATGTCTTTTGGGATTGTGCATGTTCCTACAAGTCTTAAGTTTTTTGTTGCCGGAATCCTCTACTGCCAATCATGCCTTGATTAGAGCAGCCCGGTCTTGGTTCAGATGCATTGTACATGTGGTGGCCTTTGCGTCAGCTGATTTGTTTTGGCTAGCAGAGTAAATTCCGATATCAGCCGCGGACCTGGTCAACATGTGGATGCTTGGTATGTGAAACGACTCCATGGTTACTGAAGGTGGAACTGAATCAATGTTTTCTGGCATGCGTGCAACATGCAAGCCTAGAATTGCAGATAGATTGGTACGCGGGCTGCCAGGCATATACCACCAACATACTCGTTTGTATTCAGCACTGGGCACATAAAACATGTCAGGCGCGCCATTTTCAACTCGTCGGTCCTTATAGACAGTCATGGCACCACATGCCAAAACGTGCAGGTTATTAATTTGCAACAATATTGGATGCCATAAAATGGTTGCCACGGGCCTATTTCGAATCTGATGAATTCCTACAGAACGTGATCAGAATGAGCTGAATGACTCAATGTTACCCATGGCCGCTAGGCCTACCCGCATTTTTGCAGCACTGCACAGACAGCCTCCGCCTAGTGCAACCGTCTCTCTTTAAGATTGAATATGCGAAAGAGGCAAACGCACTGAATCTACAGCAAGGTTGGCATCCAAGCAAACCGTCAACACTTTCCAATGTACATACAAAGACCTTGGAATCTACTCTCTAGGTATATTATTGTCATCCTCACTAACCAAATGCTCTGCACCCCGGTTCCAAGCGAATCTACGTGCCCTTCTTGCTTGAAGGTGCTTTTGCGAATAGCTTCTTGTCAAGCTTCTCCAGCGGCACGCTTTTCAGCAAGAACAGCCTCGCCGCCCTTTCGCTCAAGCTGCCCCCGCACTTGAGGCCCCTGTCTTGCAGCTCCTCTTTGAGCCTTTCTAACCCCAACGCTTCCATCTCCTGCGCCGATTCGAACATGCTGAAATCCAATGGCCGTCCGTACTCCTTGGCCTCCCCATCATTCGATGCCACAGCAGGGCGATGCGCATTCTCTACATCCGCCCCAGCATTTGTGTCATTCCCCTGATCACCCGCACTCCCGGCTTCAGTTTCTCCGCTAATTACATCCGTCTTCTCGTCCCTCTTAGCGGCATCCTCTGCAGTCGCCTCCGATGTAGCATGAGAGGGCCCGACGGCGTCCCCCGTCGCCACCCCAGAGGGACCGACAGTAGCATCCTTATCCAGGCCCTCATCTTCGTCACCGCTTTCCTCTTCGTCCTCCTCCTCGAGGATCCCAAACATACGCACCCGCTTGACCACCGAAACGCTCTCCGGTTCTTCCACCTTGCGCTTGCCTGCCGCCTTGGAGCTCATGGCGTCTTTGACTGCGTCCTCAACCCTGCACGTCATAAGCATGAATCAGACGTCTAACAAAAGGCAAGTGACATGCATCTGAAGGATGTTTCTTACAATATGAACTCCTCTACGGGGCACTCTGAAAGTGAGACAATTCGTGAAGCAGAAGACAATACTGCTCAATCACATCCACCTGCATCAAGTCAGATACAAGCTATTGGATTCCGGGCAAGCCTCCAGATCAATGACATGTTGTATCGGAGATGGCCAACGTTGCTGAGCACCTGCGGGACCTTGACTGAAACTTGCTCCCCTTCAAAACCTCCCTGGGGGCCGCACGGGCGAAGATGGACAAAAATGGCAGCAGAACCCTAATCTGGATCCTGGAGATCCAACCTCCAATCATGTCTTACTTGTCAAGAATGACCTCCGTCTGCTCCCGCAGCTGCGCCAGGGCGTTGTCCTTCTCCACCTTCTGCTTCAGCTCCCGCTCGTCTTTCTTCACCTGCTCTGCGGCCAGCTTCTCCTGCTCCCTGTCCTTTGCCTGCTCCTGCCACTCGACCAACTTCTTCTCCGAATTTACATGCCGCAGCCGCCGCCCGTTCATGTCTCTGCAGGCGTCAAAGTTCGTCGTCTTCTTCTGCGACTGGGAACCCCTGAGCAGCGAGCCGAAACCCCCCTTCCCTCCCAATAACCGCGCCAAAAGTGTGCAGGAAGGAAACAAGCCACGGTCGTCCGCGGACAGGATGCTGTCATCGTCCAGCTGGCTAGTCCCAGTCACAAGGCGAGTGAAAACTGAGGGGATGCCTTCAGCATCCTCGACAAGACCAACGAGCTCCCTGCCCGTCACGGAAGGCGTCCCAACTCTCAGACACTTGCTCTCCCCTTGCAGATTCTTTACAAACACCTGAAACGACGCCATATTCGCTAGTCGGATTCAAAGCACCCTTGAAAGAACCAAAGTTGCGCCCTGACAACTTTTCTGAGGTCCTGCCGGCCCTAGCTCGTCTACTTAGGTACTCCTCCTCGGAGCTTCCTCCTCGATCAGCCTGTCTCTGTGCTGGATCAGCTAGAGTAGCAGCCTCATAAGGGGGCGTTATACGCTGGTGCTGAACGTATACGTATGTGGCGTACACAATCGGAGTCCGTACTCGGACGTGGCTCATTAAGTGCGGGCAATCACCGTCATGGGCGACGGCACTGCCGACAGCTGCACCGGCTGTCACCGGCGTCACCGGCTCAGTGTATACTGGGCCTATGAAGAGTGCACAGTGCACACAGTGCACAGTGCAGTCACCCGTCGCCCGACCAGGCATGTGCGGTCCTTCAGACCAGCACACTGAGTCGATCTGTTCGCAGCGTGCTCCATATGTGCCCTTCTTCAGCACAATGCCACTGTGAACGTAACGCGTGCAGCATAAAGTGTGCTGCCTGCTCGGCGATATTATTGCCTTTCAGCCATTTTGCAGTACGTCAGCTAACGAAGGGCGCTGTGATTAGCAACTTTGTCACTGGCACAATTAATGGAGTCTCCGGCACAGCAGCTCGATCAGGAAAGTGACCCCGCAGTACCATCTGTTCTTTGATATGCACAACCCGGTATTTTCAAGAGCTGGCTAGACAACCCTCCGCTGCGCTCTTCCTTGCTCCGGTTTGTTTTGCAACAGCTGTTATTGATTGCTTCGCGTTTGTCCCATCAGAGTGATCCCCTTGCCACAGAAAGCCCCAGAAGCTTAAAACGCCCTGCTTGATGTTTCAACCATTGCATATTTGCAATCGACTGAAAGCGAACCAACCCAGTGTCCTTGCCAAACCCACTGGAGAAGGGCCCAATCAAAGCGGCCGTCCGTCCCCGTTCCACCAACAATTCCTCCTTCTAAGCGACCCAATCTTTTGCCACGCTTTGCAAAGCAGCCCACAAAGCAATGGCGCCCGCGGACCGCTCCGCCAGCAGCATCCTCTGGGCAGCAGTGCTCGTTGCGTGCTGCATTCTGCCGTGCGCCCATGCTAGTTGCAGTGCCGCGCGCGCCTCCCGGAAGCTCCTGCAGCTGGACCCGTCGGTATGCCCCTACGAGCTGGGCTTTACCCCATGGTAAGCAAACTAACCCCGCGCCCTAAGCACTCTCTGAATAGTTGAGGACGGAACTGGTCTGATATCAACGTCACAGGGAGTAATGCCTTTTCCCAGGGGTCAGAGCCCGGAGCTTTTCCAGGGAACAGCCATTCCTTCCTGTGAACCCTCCATGCTCAAACTGCCTCATTGCCAGCTGAAAACCTCTTAGTTTGAATCACCCCCGTCAACACACCCCCGTCAACACACCCAGGTTTACAGGCCCAATATCCAGTGAATCAAACCACGTGCGCTGAGCCACCAATCTGGCTAGGCGCTGAAGCATCCTGGCCCACTGCTTTGTTAGTACTGACTCTGACCACCGTCTCTTTGCAACGCTTGCTAACAACGTGACACCAGATTTTGCCGCTTGCTGTTGCGTGCAGTTTCGCGATGCCTCAAGAACTGTCCCGCTTTTGTATCGCGTTTCTGGTGGTTCTCTGAGTATCCTTTTGCGAGATGGAGTCGGACGCACCCAAAACATAAAACTCGTTCGCCCAACAAAAGAAACATTATTTGCGTTCAGCGTCCTCGGTACCAAAAAGGAAGCAGGACGCCCAATGATCGAGCGGCTACGCTGTTGAATCCTTGGCCTATGTTCAGACTCCCATGTTTCTCTTCCAATTTTCCTGTGACTGTCAAGGATGAAAACCAACTGGTTTTCCGCCGTTCTCGAAACACCCCAAGCAAGCGAAGCTGGCTTTCAAAAGCTGAGCAGAGCGACGACGCCAGACGAAGTTCCCGCATGTGCCTCGTTGAGCGTTGATACTGTTCAAGTCACCCCACAAGGCTCAAGCTTTCTAGGCCCGTGTGCAGCTCTAACGAGTCCTCGAAATGAAACCAAGTCTTCGATTCTCTCCTCCCGTGCAGCTTTTCTGCTGATGGCAGCTCGTTGAACTGCGTCCTTGGTAAGGACCTCGGGTTTCACCCCGCCTTTTCCGTTGGTTCTTGACTTATCGCCCTTCAGTGATGCTCTCAATTGTTGTCCTTGAACAATGCTGACCTTAGGCCTTCCATTTTAGAGCGTTGCTGAACGTAGATTTGATTGATTGATCTCCTGCAAAACTTGCTCTAGCTGACCTGCAGAGAGGAGTGATAGCTTTGCCCGCATCCTTCAAATGCTAAGAAAACACTGTTTCATGGCGCTCTCCGATATCCGTGTTCCTCGATCCTTCAAATCATTCTGAAGTCCAACTTTGTGTTGCCAGACATCGATTGTCAGCATTCTGATAGACACTGAAAAGAAAGATAATCCTCATGGGTGTTTTTCTGCAAGATCCAACTCGTTCTCTATGCTCAGCACCTCTTGCCCGTTCATCTTTTCGTATATGGATCGGATCTCTGGCAGGACACAATACTCCGAACCGACACCTGCTCTGCTTTCTGCTTTGACGCCTTTTCGAAGATCTTTCAATTAACATTGTCCGAATCAAACCCCAACTAGAAGCAACCAGAAGTGTCTGAACCCTTCAATCCCCCTTGGCAGATGGCTGCGACGGCCACGTGTCCATCCCCGGCTCCCCCGCCAACCAGCCGCAAGGCGTTCGCGACGCGGGAAACGTCCTCGTCACTTTTTTCACGGCGATCGGCAACAACGATTACGCCCTTTACACGACGGCCGTCGAACGAGGCGCCACGTACCATCCGGACATCATAAACCGTCCACCTGTCCTCGCGGACGGTCAGACTGAGCGCGTGTTCGACGAACTCCGGGCCGCGCTGCAGATTCCCGCCGGGAGCGACTACCGCAGCATCTTCAAGGTGGGTGCCCGCTGACGTCATTACGTCGTAGAAGTACGACTCTCTGGTACGTACGTATGTGAATTTGGTGTTGAATTGTTTTGAGGTTCTGCGCTGCCCAAACATAGTATTCGTCCAGGAAAGATAGTCAAGTCTCTTCTTTTAGGATTGATTTGTTTGGACGTTGAGGAAAAATCTGTTGGGAAACTGGTTGTTTTTCCGGGACAATTTTGCGCCTGGCCCGCCGGAAAAACAGGAAGAGATCGACACGTTAGAAGTAATGTTACTTGCGAGAACCCGGTGAATTTGTTTTACTTACAGATTCTGTGAAGTCACCCTTGTCAAATGATTTCGCTCTAGGAACCCGAGCAGGATCATATGCTAACGTCAGAATCAGGTCCTTTCCAAACCGGAGGACAATTTTAGAAAGTCAAAGAAGTCAGCTGCATCTGTCGAAGGTAAACGTGCTTCAACCTTTCAGGAGAAAGCTTCGTCCGCAGGCCTTGAATGATTAAAGCTGACTATCACTTCCGTTCGACTCAATTATTTTTTGAGCGTACGTAAGTACACATGAGAAACGAACGAAGTCAGAGCTGGACGTGGCCAATTGCAACAAAACCGGAGCTCGCGAACGGCTGAAATATAGAATGAGAGGCTACAACTCCTGGCTAGCTACATTTCCTTCTCTTGGGTGCGGACCTTTCTGACGCGTCCGCACTTGTACTTCGTACAGGTTACGGACGCAGGTATTGCCCTGAGCCGCGGTGTCGTAGTGGGCGTCGGTCTCCAAGCGGACTATCCGTCCGTCAACCCAACCCTGACGTTCTACTTCGACGTCAGAGTGACGTCAGCGACCCTCCCCGGGTTTCAGATTGTAGACTTCTACTTCACCCCGTTTGGGGCACGTTAGGTGGAGCGTTTCGCTCTAGAGCGTCAAGCGGGAAGTGAAGTCCCTGTTTTCTAGATACGAAGGCTACTCGCAAGGTGCGGGAAGGAAACGTGAGAGTTTTTGCTGGAGAAGTGTGTGTTTGTATAGGTCCAAAGCTTTAGTATGCAAGAGTGCCAGTCATCAATTCCCCTTTCTAGGGAGTGAGTGTGCTCATTAAGAGACCATTTCGGTTGTCAGCTTTAGAACTGTGAGCATAGATAGCTCGTAAGAGCCATCACGCTTGCGAAGTTCTGTCGAAACAGTACAGCCCGTGAGTTTAACTTGAAGGAAGTTTCCAAGGTCTTGCTAGCACGAGCACAGTTCTCGTTTTCCAGCTCGTATGATGTAGTATTGATGAATAGAAAGAGCTTGAGTGACGAGATCCGGGACTCGGTGTTTTTCTGATGGTGTACATAGGCGTTTGGTCAACGGTTTGACTGTGAGGGAAACTTGTAGCTCGTAAGCAAGTAAAATGCTTGTTCTCTTTTGTCTTCAGACGGGTCGGACTTGCAAAAGTAATGATACGCTGGATCGTGCATGACCTTCAGCATTCGCGAATGAGATGTGGCCCCGACGAATGTATACCAGCGCGCTTCTCGCTTCTTTCGGTCTGTTCCAAAGCGGCGCCGCTTTTGAATATGGAATGGAATACTTGAACGGATGCTGCAAAACCTTCTTGCTCATCGTCTCTTACCATAAGCCGGGAAGCTTGGTCACCGTCAGCTACGGCTCTATTGGAAACCTGAGAATCATCAATGAGCTTTCTTGAGGCAGTTTGCGATAAACACACGTCGTTTTCAAACTGAACCCTTGCAGGTCCTCAGGACCACTTTTACGTAAAGTTGGAGTCAACTTCCGCAGCGGATCAAGGGCCTGCTCTGCGGATAGACGAACGGGTGGCAACGCTGCCAAGAAGGCACTGATGCGAAAACTTGTTATGTACAGCCCGTACTGTAAGAAACTCCCAACAGACGAGGCGATGCTCTTGTTTGTAAGAAGGCCTGGCTCTGGGGCCCATTTTTCACAGTGTCTGCCAAGCCCATCATTTTAAGCACTGCAAGGCATGTTTTCTGCAAGCGTACAAACCAGGGTACCCCTTTCCGCGTCTACTACAATGAGCGGCGGTGCTCAATGTTGTGCAACATGAGTGCGTCGCACTCAGACGGGGCCGTCTAGAATGTAGTGGAGTAGCTCGAAAAACTACTTTCTGATCTGCAAAAGGAGAGTGTCGGTGAGAGTCTGGAGCTGGCGGGAATCGAACCCGCGTTTCTCACTTGCCACCCAACTCGGAATATGCGCTTATTCCGAGCTTGCCACCCAACTCGGAATATGCGCTTATTCCGAGTTGGCCGGGTCATTGGCACTCTAGCGCTGAGTTACAGCCCCACTTTGCTGCTGCAATGAAAGCACAATTCGTTACTTTGAAACGGTCGTTCACTTGACAAACGGAACTTGCTTGTACGCTTCAAACGCCTCTGGCGAGTTGTGCGCACGGGCGATTGTCACATGCGGATTCGACGAACTCAAGCTTGTCCAGAATCTGCAATTTGACAACTGAGAACTTGATCATGCGCTTCGCTTTAGCTCCTGCAGAAAGTTGACGAACGTCACTTCACTCCCGAAGCTGTGTGGAGACTGAGGACAGCGAAAGCCCGGCCTGCGCCCCGGTCGATGCCCTCTGGTTCAAAAGTTCAGTCGTTGTCTAAGAACAGATTGCTACATTGAATGCCCCGTACGTGCCTGCAGAATGCTGCAACTCGATTCCTGTGCCTCCAAAACCCCAGCTTCTAGAACTTAGAAGCCTGAGCATCAAGCGATTTATGACTCGTGCTTTTCGAGCGTGCCGCGCAAACTCGAAGAACTCAATGCCAGCTGGAACTGGCAACCATGCTGCATATACGCTTTTCCGAATTGAGGTTGCTCGTGCAATTCTCTGGAGTTAAGCAAACCGAAGTTGGAGGCATGATAATTACAACTATAAATACAATTAGCATGGGCACCACTGAGGCCACGTACTGATCATGGCTCGAGCCTATGTATCATTTTGCATGCGTAGCTCCATGTACCATACAAGAATCCGGTTCCTCGACATCATTGATTCAATCGGATCCAATGCGGGCACACTTGTCGGGAATATGAAAATAGTGCATGCACGATGATTGTACACACCCGACACTGAGGATATTTGTCGTGGGAGCCGGGCGCGGCAGCTGTTGATCTTATGTACATTATTCTAATGGCCGCCCACGTAGGCCTTCGGATCGGCTCCTTAAACTGAGATCTGAAAGTTAACTTATTAGCAGACTCAGCCCCCACGTACCGCACCTTCTCACGCCCACCACTGACTCAGATCGCCATGCTCTATTCCACCACATTGAATGTGCACACGAAGCATCAATACGACGGTAGCGCGTGCCTTTGACACACGCGTGTCGTTTGAAGTTGCAACTTGTACGAAAGCACTGAGGGCGGCATTCTTGGAAAGGTCGATCGAGCTCAAAGACTAGAAAAAGTTACCTTAAAACTCAAACGTGACTTATAGACCATTCAATGTACATCAGAGTCTGCCTTAGAAGTATACGTTCTCTATTCATACACGATGCTTCATCGGGTGGATCGATGCAGGCTGCCTTCCCCACCTGACCAGAATGGGGTTGATGTTGGCTAAACCCTGCCGGATGTGAGGGTTCGTATTTACATACAAAATGTTGTTGAAAGCCCGACGACAATCCAACCTTACGTGTCCGCCCCTTGGCTCGCGTAGTTGCGCCGTCTTAGCCCGTCTTGAGACGTGAACGGCTGCTGCAGGTACAGCTTGGACGGGTCGTTCGGGTCAACGTACCTGCACGGACGTCCAAAAGTACATGAAAGGAACTAGAAACGGACGTCGCCCTCTGGAATATCAGAGGCTGAAACGCAATAAATTTGACGTCGTTGTCAACGAATCTGACTGGTGGCGCGGATACCCAACTAGTTCTTCAATAACTACAGTTTTCAGTCGTGGTATCTGCGGATCCGACTTACTTCCGATGATACTTCAGGGAGACAAAGGAAAACTTGTTCGCAAGCCTGATGCGGTTGGGCGGAATCCTTGTTAGGTTTACATTAGACTCCGGGAGCTCGCACTCTCCCCTGCCGGCGCATTCACGCGTATTCACATGAACGTGAACTTGTGACACTCTGAAACAAATCTACTTCGGAGACGCTTGCCCAGAACCTTGCTTCGCAGCACTCGGGTTGAAGCTGACAAGCAATAATCCGATCGGGCCCCAACGAGAAACCAGGCTAGGATGCACATTCACAAGAAACGTTCCCGACCGGCGGGCATTACTTCTCTGCCAACTTGACTTTACAAGCTGACTGTTATAAAGGCTCCGCCTTGAACTTGTAAGCAGCATTGTTAGTCCACAGCTTATTATGCAGACTCCACAAACAGCAAGCGGAGAAGGGACGCCAAGAGAGTGAGACTACATTACCAGGAGAACACATTGAGTAGGCCGCTATCGTCCAGCGGACTGCTTCGAAACAACAAAACATGCAGTCCGACATGCAGTCGAAGACGGAGTAGACTTGACCGGAAAGATAAGCAGATAAAAATCAACAAGAGAAACGATTCCATAAAAGCCTAGGCAAAAGTCAAACCGTAATGAAATCAACAAACCCAGCTTCAGCTCACCCACACGCTGCGTAGCATCTCATCGAGTTGCGCTGTTCTTTGAGGGTCGGCGAGAGGGGCTTATCGTCACAGCAAAGACGAGACATCAGGAGATGATCGACAGCATACTGCTTTACAACGACAAAGACTAACGGAGGGGGAATTCGAACACGGGTGCCCGAAAAATTTGAGGGGAAACGGAACCCAGTGACCAGACTAAAACCACCAGTTTCGGCCCACTTACGCGCTGCGTAGCATCTCATCGACTTGCGGCTGTTGCTCGGGGATCGGCGACGGGGGCGCGCTGGGCGTTTGCTGTTGCGGCATCTGCGCGCGGATCGCTTTCAGCAGATTGAAGAAGAGGGGCACGAACGTTCCGACGCCCCCTTCCTTGAACAGAATCTTGAAACTGTGGGGGGGCCGCTCGCCCCAAGAAGCGCCCTCTGGAAGCACCTGAAAGATATGAATCATCATTGATATAAAGTAGTATTGAAAAAATTGAACCTTTTCAAAATAAAAGCTAAAATAATTTGAAATACATATATGTAAAAAATATAGAGAGTTGACGTAGTAAAAAGAGCCCAAAAGGATGTGGAAAATCTGAGTGATAGAAAAGAAGGGCCAAAAAACAAGGTCTTGCTACCAAAATGGTAGGATAATAAACTGGCTCACAAGTATGCTTAAGGTGACGCTTGCCTAAGAAGCGCCTTTGGGAAGCACCATGCGAAAGGGGTTTGGCGGGTTGCGTGTGTTGTAGGTTGACGGGGATAGGTCCCGAAAAGTCGAAAGTGATCGGACACTGGGTTCATGACAAAGGGTCCTCCAGTTGACGATTTCAAATGAACCTGTGAGGGAGCCGCTCGCTCAGAATCTGCCACTTTGTACCATTTGCAAAGCACGATTCAGCGGTGAGTGTGTAATAGCTGGTCGCGGTGACGTCACAGAGCGATGACTCCATCGCAGTTTTCAATTTGATTTCACGAAAATCGCGACTTTGGAGGGGGTTGCAGCGACAGTCGGCCCAGTAACCGACCCAAAATCGTCGGGTGAAGACGAAATACCACGCCACTTTCATAATAGAACCTACTTGTGCGTAAGGTAGCAGGCATCTGAGCTTCCGAAGTGTGCGAGGAGCACGAACAAACGTTCAGGATTCCGTCGAGCTCAGATTTGAGCTCTTTCGAGGTTGCTTAAACGGGACGTGTCTCTAGCGGAGATGGGTGCCCAAAAGGACCAGACGGTAAGCGAAAGCAGAGACTTGCAGTTGTCAGTTTATCCGTAAAAGCGGCAAAGTAAACAGCCGCTTAAGTGGGATGCGGTAGATATTCATGGTTTTGTCAAGTCGTAGGAAAAGAGATTGAAATGGATGTCGAGCAGGAAGCTCGGCTGTTCGAGAAACGCGTGCGAAGAAGCGGAAAGGGAAGCACACATATATACACCACTTGCAAGACCCCAATGTTCAGACAGCAGTTCTAGCTAGATTCCTCAAGTCGGTTGGCCTCGACGACCCAGAATTGACCGACACTAACAAAAGACGGACGATGCATCTATGAAAAAGGCTGTGGCAGGAACGTTCAACAAACACGAGACAACAGTATGATTTCCTTGACTTACCGGGCTCACTTGGCCTGAGATGTTGTTGCATGTGAAAATGGGCTGGTTGAACTTCTCCCCATGGATGTACACCTGGCACAACATGAGGGGAGATCTTAAAAGGTGTCAACAGGTTTAAGCCAAATTATGTAAACCACAACGAGTCTTCGGTTCCATACACCTGTTGTAAGGCCTCGAGGACTCACTTCCCAAGGAGCAAAACTTACTTCATGTTTGTGCAATGGATCAGACCGATATAGTTGGGCCATGCGGTTCGGTCTCAGAATGTTTCGAATGCGGTATTGAAGTGAGCGCGCTTCTTCTTTACTTGTAAAGTTACAATTACGAAGGACATATCAAAAGTCTTCAAGTCCTTCGGATTTTAGTTCTCAGCTGAACCACATGCTTAGGTGTTGCTCAACAGTACGGTGGGAAGAAATTTAATCACGTAGTTCTTGCTCTATGAACAACCTGGGCTACAATCAAACCTCTGCCCGTAGACCCCCTCGTCAATGGCAGATTCTTCTGAACTTCTGGACATAACAACACTTGCTGAACAACCCCTGCTCACCCTCTTTCCCAGCCATCATGACCAGATCTCAATTGATCTGTAACGAGCTCCTTAACCCCAAACCCGACCTCCCAGAGACACCTAAACCAGATCTTGCAAAGCCCTGAAAAGCGAGAAAAGGGATGAAACTTTGACTGGCTATCTGTTTGAGGCACTGTGCTGAAGACTCACCAACGGAAGGTCAAATGACGTCAGCGTATTGGAAGGAGTCTTGGCCACAAAGATGATGCGGATCGAAGACAAATAGATGGTGCCCCGAGCGTCCCACTTGCCCCCTTGGACTCTGCGGAGATCAATGAGAGTTTGTCAAAACGCGTCGTACTTGAGCTCGATTTCCTTTATCCACTTTTTTTTTTGGTGGCCCTGCTGCCTCTTTGAAGAGGCTGCGCAACTCTCCCGTGAAGACCTTGACCTAAGGAGCCGTGATAGCGTCATTGCTGGGGGACAAGAACTACACAGAAGACTTCCGCTCAGCGGCCCAGCATTCGGGAGCCGCGGAGGGGAATAGTAGCAAGTAGAACCGGCTTGTCGGGCTTTTTAGATAGTGAGGTCTGGTGAAAACGACCTTTTCAGCCCACCACAAAGACGACGCAAATTTCACGACGGCTATCAAAACCTTCTTAAACTTTATAGAAAGGGTCAATGAAAACCTTCTTATAAGGTCAACCACTCCGTTCTTGCCCGCCTTTATTGCTGCTTCAAGTGAGTGGCAAAAAGCACCTTCTGGTTCAAAGCCTAAAAACCAGCAAGTTTTCCAAGAGAAACCTTTTTCCGGCAAGACAATGCCGTCGCACAGGATAGCTCAGTGGCCGCACAAGCGACTTTTGCATGCAGGCACTTTCTTGGACTTTTTCGAAAAAGGTGCACCACTCACCCTGGCACGTTGTCCACTTGAAACTCCACCCCCTCCCTTGCCAAAACAAACATCTCACCTATGAACGGGATCGGAAGCCCGCTGTGTGCATCGACCTGTGGGTTTACTGCCATCTTCGCCCCACAGTAGCGAGCAAGGTAACCCTTCCGCTCAGTTCTAACAATGGAAGGTTTGAGCGGCCCTTGCTGGCTAAACGCGTCTCTACTTTCTCCTTTGGACGGACTCTCGAAGTTGAAGACGAAGAATGAGCTGCTTGGAGAGAAGCAAAGCATGCAGCTGAAATTTGAAAGTCAAACCCTAAAATCCTGACTACTGGAAAGAAACCCTAAAACTTAAAAGGCGGAAGGAAACCCACTCGCTCGATCAAGACGCTGGCGTTCCCCTTGGGCCTTGTGCTTTTTCCAGGAGGGAGGGTCCTGCAGCAGCAACGGAAGAGCTCAATGGCGCGCTATCTGCTGACTGTCCTGGTGGCCCTAACTGCCCTGCTGATTGCTGATCCTCTGAAGCTGAGCCCAATCACTGACACAGACTTCAACCCTGCGGTTGTCCGCTTGGAACCGCTGCGCTATGACGTGGCGTCCCTAGATAGGGGCAACCGGTTGTCCTTCTCAGAGAGGCTGCTCGAAGGCAAGCTGCGGGGTCCAGAGAGCATGGCGTTTGATCCCCAGGCAAGAGGAGCCCATTTGGTGCTGCGTGTATGCTTTGATTGCTGTGTGTTTGCGTGGTTGATTTATTAGATAAGCAATTCATGCAGGCTTGATAGTCATATCCTTTGTCTTGCTGCAGTGGACTACAGGTTTTATAGGCAATGCTGCAACTTTGAGAAAAAGTAGTGAACTACTGATTCTATAGGCAATGCTGCGACCTCGAGAAAAAGCAAGGCAACCAGCTGTTACTGATTGGAAAAAGGACACTGCAAATGTAGTTTTGGTTTCTGGGGCAGTGCTGCCATGTTGCATCTGAGTTGCATCTGACTGGCAATTTTTGGGAGTGCGCAAATTTGAAGTGCGGTGCTGTTAAAGAAGTAAATACAGCTGTAATTGATCGGAAGTAAAGGAAGGGAAGCCCTGCTTATATAATCAAGTAGGTAAGCGGAGGGATCAAGTCACCAGCTTAAGGTATGGCTGCCCTGTGGGCTTTGGCTGAAGTTTCATGCGACAGAGTCAAGGAGGCAGGGTCACTCTCTTATAGCCCGGCAAGCTACGACTCGTGTCCTCCGCTTGTACAGTTAACCAGTCTGTCTCAAGTCTACGCTGTCGCAATAGATACAGCTCGCATCTTGAGCAAGAATTCAATGTCTCCATTTGGGAGTAGTCTTCTGAGGTCAACGGACTGGATGACACCTTCAATCAAAGTCGGACCTCCCCAAATTTCCCCAGGTCGCAATCTCAGTAGAAACAAACTAGTAGCGTTGGCGGGCGCCTGACTTCAACTGCCTGTTTATGTGAAGAGCTCTGTTGACAAAGGCCTCACCCCCGTGAATGTCTTTGACTCTTCAGAGAAAGTCAGCCAAATCTACTATCTTGCCGTCCACAACTTGGACCCCAACACTCTGAACTGCTAGCAGCAAATGAGAGTATTCGTGCTGCTCCAACCATGCCTCGTTCTTCACCGCTGGATCACTTCAAGCATTTCTCTCATGCACGTAATTTGAACAACTTCAGGGGAAGGGGCCATACACCGGCATCAACGATGGTACAATCATCAAAGTTTCGGACGACGGACAGAGCTTTGAGACGTTCGCTTGGACGAGCACCAACCGGTCCGCGGCCTGTGGAGACAAACTAGAGGCGGAGGACACCTGCGGGAGGGTGCTTGGTTTGAAGTTCCATCAAGAGTGAGTGTGGTGCGCTGTCTTTCCCCTTTTTTAACGCGTTGATTCGGATATCCCTTTTTGCGGATCTGTAAGTTGTGTATGTTGTGTGTCTAGGGTGTTTTCAGACGGTCATTGTTGAAAGTGGCCCACCCGCTAAAACGGAACACGTCCAGTCGATTTTCACAAAAGATCCACAACTCGAATCATGAACAACTTTGGTGAATCCAAGTCCTCGACATGACTCTCCATTAGCATCCTTGTCCGCTCTTGTTCTCTCAGTTTCCTACTCGTTGTCCCTTTTTTCCGTTTTTGTTAGAACTCATACCTTCCAGAGATCAACACGGACCAGCTATGATGTTTCGTGTGTTCCAGAAAGTTTTGATATTTCTTCTCCCCACTTTGCGAATTTGCGGCGCAGCGTGGCTAGCGTCATTCTCATTCGCAAACCGGGTGTACCAAAGTCAACCAAGGTTTGTGAACTTGCATGATTGATTGAACATGTTTGAACGAGGTCAGTGATTTATCAGAACGTAAAGCAATGGAGTCAAACCAAAAGCACGTTCTGGCCTGCATTACTTGGGCAATAAACACTCTATCAATCAAATATGGAAGTCTCAGCCTCGCATCCCTAATCCGCATGCAAAGCTGTGTCTTCAGAGTCTACTGAGCGCGTGCCCTTCGAATAAAGAGGAGTCATGTGGCATATCAGAGCATGATGTCACGTGTTTGGGATAGCTCAAACTCTTTTTTTACAACGAGCTAGGGCATCTTCTGTGCTTCGCGCTCACATTGTTCCGAGTCATTTCAGAGTCTAAGAAATTGGAACGCAATTCAGCCGAGCGTCAGGGATCGATTCGTACCCCTGCTGGAGTCCTGATTCAGGCGTGTGAATTTCTCTTGTCGACCTTTGGTAAGAAAGACAATGCAGTGTGGAAAGCAAAGACGAAGTGTAGAGCGGCCTTTCAACAAAAGCAGGGGATCTGGAAAACTCCCAAGCGCCACCTCATTTTAGTACTCTCGATTTTAAGCTGAGTTACGGCTATGTTGACTTAGGTTCAGGCCCGGGGGACGGGTGGGGTTGGTGGATACGTGGATATGTGGGGGTTTAGGGTGGGTACGGGTGCGGAGCATGTTGAATCTGGGTTTAGGTTTTTGGTTTGTTGGAGCCCGGGGACTTTAAACACTCGACATACACCTGACACAATATAAAATTGAGACTTAACCTCGTTTTTCTAAATCCAGGACCGGCGATCTCTGGTTGATGGACGCGTATTTCGGTCTCATGAAAGTCGGCCCTGAGGGGGGCCTCGCAACCGTCATCAGCAACGAAGCGGAAGGCCAGCGGTTCCAGTTCGCGAACGACCTCGACATCGCGTCCGATGGGTGCGTCTACTTCACGGATACGAGCCCCCGATGGAAACGAAGGTGGGTGCTTTTAGTTCTGGACTGGGCTTGGCCTTTCTCTTCTGTTTCCCCTTCGTATCGTTTGGTTGCGCTTAAAGTGGGCGTAGCAACCGCACTTGCATTGGCGATCGGACGGCTCAGATCGTTGCGATAGAAGACGGCCAGTGCCGTCCTTGACATTGATCGGACAAGAGAGCGACGATATGGAGTACCATAAGTTTGCGCGAGTGAGTGCTAATCGGGGGAACGGCTCTTTTCCTTTTCCGATCGGCAGCTCCCAATCTGCCTCTTCGCTCGGCTTGCATTGCAATCGTGTGGGTTACCTCGCTCTGCAGTGACGTGTTTTGACAGCAAGAAGCCACGCGAGCACGTTTTCGGTCTTCGACTGAAGCTTCCAGACACCCTGCCACGAACCTTCTATGCGCGCGAAAGAACGTATACCTTTCTCTAAACGAGCCCGTTCCTAGCCACGTGTTACCCCCCCATTCGTGCAGGCAGTTCATCCTGGCCTTCGCCGAGGGTCAGGCGGAGGGGCGCCTGCTCAAGTACGATCCGGCGACCAACACGACGACCGTCCTGCTAAAAGGGCTGCGCTTCGCGAACGGGGTCGCCCTTTCCTCGGACGAGTCGTTTGTGCTTGTGAACGAGTTGTCTCTTGCCAGGTGAGCGATGCCATTTGTTGCGAAGATGAGTCAGCGGGTGCTTTTGTGCCATCGGGGCTCTGTTCGCTCTGCAGATTGGAAAGAACTTTGGCTTTAGCCCTAATTCTACGAAGTACCCTTGCGCTTATATTCCTTTCTCCCTAGGAAAGTGCGTTTTAATCTGGACAGAGTGTTTTCCAGCCGAGCCAGCAACTGAGATCCGACTCGATCACTTTTGCCGTTGCTTGTTTGCATTAGACCAACTGAATATTAATCAAGCCGACCCTAATAATCACGAAAACAACGGACAATTAGCCTCCTGTTTAAACCGACTCCAGTAGAAAGCAAGCCAACTTCGCTTGATCCCGCAGAACAGTACTGCCTATCGTAACAGCATCAATTAGATGACTGCGTGGACTGCTTTTAATCCTAAATAGCTTTTTCGATTGAATGAAGCCCTGAATCGCCCAGACTGGAAGAGCTGAACTTTAAAATGGTGGATTCAAGCTATCCAGTTGTTGTCTTGTCTAGATTTGTGCAATCTCTCATCATTTTCTCTCCCATCTTTTGGATCGTCGGGATCGACCGAGTGAACTGTTCGATTGTTTGGACTGCACGTGTCGTCTGATCAAAATTCTCTTTGGGTGTGAATATCTGGACCGCTCGATTGGGCATCTTTGAACCGTGGCCGGAGATGTTCAAACCATACCAATTTTCTCGAACGGTCCGAACGACTGAAGTTTACCGCCCTGAATCCGTTGTGCAGGATCGTGCGGTACTGGCTGAAGGGCCCAACCGCCGGCTCGCACGACGTCTTTTTCGACAACCTGCCCGGATACCCCGACAACATTCGCCCCGACGGGAGGGGTGGCTTTTGGGTGGCGCTTCATACCGGGCGCTCTAAAGTCATGGTGAGCTCCGTGCGATCTACATTTCCTTAGCTTTCCGAGATATCTGGTCGCCAGAAGTGCTCTCGTTTTGTTCAAGATCGACGTCGCGGCCAGGAGTCACATTGGTTCGTCAGTGCTTGCCGATCCAATTTTGGCGGAAAGCAAGAAATGGTTCCCTTTGCTGCTTTGAAGAAGACTGCCTGGCCATAGAGATTCGTAGTTTATATGTTACACTCGAACCAGCAATGCTGAACCGAGTCCCGTGCATTTGACGGTCGACGAGTACGGGAGCCTCCAAGAGGGAGGCCTTTTGATTCTCAAACAAAAGCATCGACGGAATGGATACTCCCGACGTGCAATTTCACTCGTCGCCCAGCAAGCATCATTGCCTCAACTCGCAAACTTCAAGCTTCATTTCCAATATTCACTCTTTTCTACCTTGTGGGTCAAGTCAGTCGTTTCTGAGCTTCCTGCTCTCGGGTTCTTCATCATTCCGGTTTCCCCCGCGAAGTCGCTTAGGTTTCTGATTCACTTCCGTGATTCGTATCTGCAGGACTCCATTTTCTATTGGCCGTCCATTCGGTCCTTCTGCTTCAAGCTCCCGTTTAAGCCCTTCATTTGGTACCTCGTCTACGTGGGCAAACCGATCGGGGTTATCCTCAACATCGACGAAGACGGAAAGGCGCAGGACGCACTGATTGACAGCCTGGGCCGCGTTTTTGCCGCCGCTAGTGAAGTCGAGGAACATAACGGGAAGCTCTATTTGGGCTCCGTTTTCAATCCGTACATTGGGGTGTACGACATGGCGAGGGACAAGAAAGGGGCGGGGGCGGACCGCGACTGGATGCTAGAGCGGCAATGAAAAGATGCTGCTGCTTCGATATTGTGGGTTTCGGAAGGGTAATTGATCCTGTGGGTTGATTGTGTGCGCCAATAAGCGGCGGCCGTTTGCTAGGCCGAAGCTGGGTCCACTGTTTCAGAACTCCATTGCACTGTACATCATGATGAAGGTACATAAGTTAGAGTCAGGACAGAGACCTCAGCTGCGCAAATTAACGTTGTTGGTGTTAGGAAAAAGTATAAGATAGTGTTCTGATTGCTTGTGTTGCGGTAGGACATATGATCGATACTAACAACTTGCCCCGAGGGCGGTGATTGATCGAAGCCGGAATGGCATTAAGCATGCAGGTTAAATAAATTGCCCTCTACAATTTGTCTTAGTGACCGAATCAACTTCTGCATGGTAATAAGCATAATATTGACGTTTTCATGGTTTGAAATTTTCATGCAGATGCTAAACGGGGGAACGATCACATGCAAGGCCGGCCGGCCCCATGGCCTGGCATGTGCAAAGTCGGGCATTCATACTAAGTTTCGAACGGAATGAAAGCAGTGCACCTGGCATATGAGTCACACACACTATCGAATAAGGATCGGGCAGCTTGGGGGCGGCCCAATAATAACGCATGGTCGCGCCGTGACGCACTTCCTAGTATTATACAATCCTTGATCAGTTTCTGCAATCTAAGGACCGTAGTAAGGTTACCAGTATATATACCATCCTCAATATGTCCTTCGCATCCTGCACTGAGGTTCTTCTAGATCTGGCATATGATAGTGATTCAATGCAGCAAAGCACAAAACATAGCATGCACTAGCTTTGTGAGATGATCACAATAATATGACAGGAACTGGTCTGTACCGTTTGTAAGAGTGGAGGTAATCTGGTGTAAGAACCATCCAATTGGCCCAACTAAATTAGATATCATGATTGCCATGTCATGAGGACAAGAATTGTACTCAGGCTGTTGAAAACATCATGAACTTTTCTGCCTGCTTTCCTCATCCTTTAGCTTCGCTAGCAGCCACGTAGTGGCCCACATCACCCCTGTCGATTTGGGGATGCTCTCATCCATGATAAACTTGTCAATCTGGTCTACTGGCAGAGCGACTACATCAATTTCCTCTCCTTCTACCAGATTTCCCCCTCCCCTACCGGCTCTCATCGACTCATCGATCTCCGCATAGTAGCAAGTCTGGCGAGCACCGCTGATGCCAACTGCTGACAGCCATGACGTCAACTTTCGGATAGATTGCAAGGGGATATCGTACCCGCACTCTTCCCTGATCTCTTCCTTTGCGATCTCCTCTAGTTTCAAGCCAGGCTTGTCGACGATGCCAGCGCACAGCTCGTAAGTGAAAGCTCCTGTGAGCGGAAGGGTGGCAGTGGGCCCCTCCTCTAGTTGCACCCTCTTCGTTTCTGAAACGTAGACTGCCGGCCGGAACTGCCTGACTAGAAGCGCAGCCTTGAATCCTTTATGGTACAAAAGAATGGATACCGATGGGTGTGACTCGACCATGTCCCATCTTCTCTTTCGTGTTTGCTGCTGAAAGTAGATGCTCTTCGGCTTTACGAAAGCGGACGGTCCCGGGAGAGGCTCCACTCGCAGCCCCGAGATACTGTTTGCTGTTACCTCCAGGCCTTTCGCGGCGATGTCAATGATCTTGACACCACTCTTCCCAATCAGCTCGTATCCTGGCCCAGACGGACTGGCCGGTGTGGGCCCCTCATCAGCCCTCACCTCCCCTTGATCAACAGCGGCTGAGGCCATTGCTGTAATTGGTCTCGCTGTCTGACCAGCGGGTCGCACTCTTGGAACAGTTCCAAGTGCAATCTTCTGCAGCCGCTTCGATGCGTAATTGTTGCACTGGGTACCTGAAAGCTCAGATCTCAAAACCCTGGCCCGACCAAAGAAAGACGAGTCAGGCCTGAATGCAGTCCGCTGAGGAGACTTTTGCAGCGTTGCTGTGGCTATGCATGCAGGTGCTGGTACTATGCCGCTATGCTGGGTGACAGCAACCCCTTTGATGGTGGACGATGTGTGGGAAACGTTGGGTAGAGCTGAGGCGCAAGCAGGAAACCCCATGAATCGCCTGAGCATTGCTTTCACAGAGGATCAGAAAGCATTGATCAGAGAGCATCAGAAATTAGCCTCTCCGAATGAAACAGACGACCTAGCTGGCAGCTGCGCTGGGCACACTTTTTCCTGCAATATTCGGCTGAAAACTTCCAAAATCTCAAAAATGCTGACGGGATTGAACGAGATTGAAGGAACCGGCATGGCAGCGCTGACACCAATGGTCCTCAAACAAGAGCTTCCGGACTGCCAAGGTCGGGAAGAACGGCAAGAGCAGGCAGAATGACCACGGCATACTCTGACGAATACTGGTTGTCCAGATACATAAGCAAGCGAATTATATAAATTGATTGATATGCATGCATGCGTCCCAAGCTGGAAAAGCTCGAGAGTTGCTGACCAAATCCTTTTTCTGGATAGCTTTGTGTGGAATCTTTTTCTAGGAGGCCAAGTGGGGGCAGAGTGGAAGGGCAGTGGCAGCATGGCAGACGCTTTACATTGTTGTGCTGCTGCCAGCGCGTCTGCATTACATTTGGAGCCCCTCGTACGATTGCCGCACGGAGGTCGCTTGCTGCGGAATGCAGCTCACATCAGCAGATCTAGCCACTCGCAGCACTGGCCGAAGGCTATCTGCAGGAGACCTCGTCAAGGCTATGCAAAAAGCTGGAAGAAGAGAAGAACACTGCTGATTCGCGCTTCTGATGAAAATAGCAATGCTGAATCTAGCAGTCCAGAGCAGGCAAAGAGAAATGATCAGGGCACTGTGCGGGTTGCAGAGAAGGATGCCTCACAAGAAAGTCAGATGAAAGTGGAATCTGTCAAGGTGAAGAGACCAATCTCTGCTGAAGAGCGGGAGCGAAGAACGAAGATGGAAGACGAGCTAAAAGACGCGCGCACGTGGTTTGACTACCTTGTGCCCCGGCAGCTCCGGAGGTGAGCCTTTCAAGTGCGGGCTTCTTTCCAGAAGGTCGTGGACACGCAGATTAGATGTAGCACTGAGACAAAACTTAGACTGAAGCCCCAATGGACGCCATGGCACAACCACCCGCATCGTTCTTTGCCCTGAGCAGACACCCTTACGTTCTGAAAGTTGCAATTTGAGCTCCAGAGGTTAGTGCATATTTTATGTCCTTGCCCCCCCGGCGAGTGAAGGACTCAGCTCTAAGTAGTATCAACGAGGTACAGTATCTACAGTTTCGCATTGCCTGGGCCAATCTGGAGATGTGTATGGCGCTTTTAATTCAGGGGCTGCTGAGTCGAACACATCTCTCCCGCAGGGTCTACTTTGCAGCAGGCGCCGTGTCCTGCACAGTGGCAAGTGTGATAGCACTCACAAAGCTGCTCCAAAATCCAGCCCTGCAGGTAGGTGAAAGCACAAAAGAGATTATACATGTCATTTTGGGCCGAATGGCCACGTTACAAAAGCTTTGTCCTCTCGCCCTAATCTTCCTCAATTGGAGGCTTTTTTGTAAATCCTTTCAAAAACTTGGGTCGAGCAACAGCCATTTTCCAGAAGCTTCGGGCCCTTTGCTTTTGAAGCCTTTTCTGACGTTTTAGCTCAGCAGGTAGACTTCTGCAGCCAGGTTTTCAGCCGTAGCAGCAGTCCATCTCCTTGGATGAAAATCTTTTCAGCTTGCTGGTGTCTTTGAAGAAGTATGCCCATCCTTTGATACCTTTGGATGATAGATCACCAGTCTCTCGTAAGGGCAACCGGCAAGACATGGCAACCTTCCAGTTAGGTAGGTGATTAGAGGTATAAAAGAAGCCGTAGTTCGTCCAGGATGATCACCTTGAACGTCAGATCCCAAACATAGCAGCTCATGTCTTTTCAGGCAATGATTCTGCATCGACCTGCCACAATCGAACAGTCGTCTTTTGCTGACTGTGCAGGTTGAAGACGGAGGTCAATACAACCTTGCTATTAACCTGGTCGGGTTGATACTCTTTGCCGGCGCATACACCTGGGAAGGGGCACAGGTTAGCACGGAACTTCTGCTTGGTCATTTCCCTTTCCTCGAGAGCAAGGCTTGCGTGTTCTCGTCTTCTCAGCTGTTGCACTTGTAAGGACTTACACCCCCGACCCACGAACTTTGTTGCTTCAATACTCACTTCTAGAAGTTTGATAAGAGTATGAAGCTCGAGATTGATTGGGAAAATATATGGTCGAAAGGACGTGTTTCCAACCAGACTGTAAGTGAGCCCCGAACGTTATTCTTTTTGCTTTCAGGCAGAGAAGCGAGTCGAGAGGAGGAGGACGATTCGGGAGGCACAGATTCGATTGGGAGACAGGTAAGCAGTACCCTTGTAGACCGAGTCTTTCCAGATGAAGTTGGTCAACAAAACGGACCCCTAACCTAGTGGCCCGTGAGAGCAACAATCGAGCTGAGAAAGCAAGCTTCACAAGACTTGCTTTAGACGAAGCGTCTGGAAGAATGGTCTAAACGGCACGTTCTACAAGCGGCGATTCAAAAAGCTTTCGTAGTTTTGGTTTGCTGCATGCACACGCGTAAAAGCCCCAGCAAAGACGTTTCGTTATGTGCACACAACGACAGTGTGAAAAGGCGCCAGAAGAAGATCAGCATGGCGACTCTGACTGCGACGAGGGCATTCACATCGCAGGGAGGTGTATGTAAACAAGGAGGGGGAGAAGATGTCCCGTTTGAAGCCCGTCGACGATAACTGGATTCTGAGAAGATTGGATCGGTGGGGAAACAAGGACAAGCTGCCAATGATTGGCCCGAAGGTAAGAAGCTTTTAAACACCCAAGGTCAAAGTAAACGAGAACGAAACCGCTTGGATGATTGAATGTATAGTCTTCGATATGCAGAAGCGCCTTTAATCGACTGGTTGAAAGTTGCGGAAGTGAGGGCACCAGAGAACCCTTCGGTCGATCGGAATTGCTTGGCGAAAGTTCGTCAGAGCGACCTTGCTTTGTTGAGAAGCGCTTCATGTCGCTTCACGAAACACTCGCTCCGTCCTGCTGACACTCCGATGCGGTCTGGAAGGCAAGCGAAAGTAAGCGTCGAGTTCCCCCCGTGCCTGAATGCCCGTCTCTCATTCTCTCAATCAAGAAGCATCGAGCTCCACTTCGTTAATGACTAGTCAATCGCACGTCACGAAGGCTTCGATCAAGCCTGCTCTCCTTTCGACTGTGCAGAAGGGCGCCATCTTACAAGGCCTCGTCGTTCAGCGGGCGCCGCAGACTATTGTCGAGGTGAGTTCAAAGCTCCTTTGAGTGCAAACGTTTCCGTTTTGCGGATCTTTCCGAATTGCGACAGACTGTGGCATGAGCAGGCCTTATTTTGAAATGCTATGAGGAGCGCTGCTGCCTTGGGAGGCCTGGGCTCTCGCTTCAAAGCCCTCCTGAGCTCTGGCCGATAAACACGCCCGAAAGGGAGTGAAAATTAAGCAATCGCACGCCGACAACTATGCGTATGCACTCGACCCAAACAGTGACACGGCTCCTGTTGCTACGTTGAGGAGCTTTGCCCTTGCATTTAACAAATGTCACGAAGTCTCAACTTTGAGTGCCCAATTTGCTTTACAACCTTTATCGGTAAAGGCGAATGTCATTCAGCTTTTTCTCTTCTCTTTGCTCTGCCTAGGCAAGAGCTGCCACGAAACAAGCTTCTTGGGATGCGGACCCCAGCAGATATTCTTTCCGGATGTGCTCGCACTGGCAGAACAATTTCTCCTTTCTAAGACCCCTCTGTTTATTCCCGCAGGTTGGCGCTTTTTTGGGTTACTCGGCCATCCGAATGGGACAAGTTCTGCCGCCCGGCGGCCGCATCATCTCATACGAGAGCGACTTCAAGTGGCTTATTGCCGCCAAACGGTGCGTTCCAGCGGACTAAGTTCTCTACCTTTGAGCATCTGGAGCGTAAAAAGCTTCAGCGAACGCTGGAGGACAAGGCCTCTTCCTTGTCTTGAGGAACTGAAGACGGCGCTACGAATGATATACTCACGATGATAGAGAACGCTTTACCTCTGCCTGCGTAGCGTCTGCGAAGCTGTACAACCCGCGCTTCTATTCGCCACGTAATGGACAAAGTGATCGTACGATCTGGGCGATCAACGGGCAACGGTGCGGGCTTCGCAGCCGCCGAGCGTCACGGGTTTAGGACCCAATCAAAGAGATTCTCTTCTTTTTTGGTACTCGATTTGCAGCGCTCGTGTACGAGTGTCCTTGTTCAACAGACCCTCGCTCAGATACCTCTTTTGAGTACAATCTTGTAGACCTTGCCGCTCGTATCTGTTCCTTTCACAGGTTTGAGCGGCTCTTGAGATTCGAGCGCTTCCGTTTCGCCTGAACTTTCCGTTCTGCTCCGCCAGGTTCGTGTGGCAAGCGAAGATGGCGGACAAGATCGACGTCCGGTGGGGCCGCGCACAGGAGGGGATCCCCCAACTCAAGACCGGGTCGCTCTTTTCCAAGCCCATCGACGGCATCGACTTTCTCTTCCTCGACGCAAAGCCCTCTGAATACTTGGACTACCTCCTAGCTGCCGAACCCTTGCTTAACCCCGGCGCGGTTATTGTGGCGGATAACGCGGGCATTTTCAGCAAGTCGTTAACTGAATACTTGAATTACGTGCGAGGGTCGGGCCGGTATAAAAGTGAGATCATCGAGTCGACGCTAGAGTATCGGGACGATGTGCAAGATGGGTTGGAAGTGAGCACGTACAAAGGTACTGACTTGAGTTGAGACCATACAAGCCGTCACGGAGCGTCCGGCCAAAAGTTCGATAGATCCATGTGCGACTCTTTTCTGGTTTGAAGGACTGAGTTGCCGCCACAGGGTCGAAAAATTCTGAAAGTATAGTAGATCTTCGTTGAAAGGGTCATTGTTGCGATCAGGTCTTGCAGCATTAAGCTCGGGCCGACGGGCCGCCCATGACGCCTAACTTCGCAAGTTCAATTATGATCTGTCCGACCCGGCGAATAATCTAGCTGAATGCTTACAAAAGCTTCGACGATGTCAAGGTGCGACGGTAGCGCTGCCTGGGGCGTTGCACAATTGGAGCGCCTCGCCGAGGCGCTCCAAACGTGCAACGCCCATGCAGGCGAGTCGATCATGTATAATTTGTTACATGAATGAGTATTAGTATAGGAGCGGCCGGCACTCTTCTCATGGTTGATTTGATTAAATGTACAATCGTCGGGCCCATCATAAGCCCTAGATCCATACATGCTATAGCTATAATATACCTAGGCTGCAAACTTCTCATGCAATTCAATGCGGAGGGCTTCTCTTGCAATTCATGCAAGGAAACAAGATGTATCGTGACCACAATCAAATTCAATATGTAGCCTCTGTAGCATGCAGCTGCAAGCCTCAACCTTGATCCAATAACAAAGTCCTTTTCCATGTTTGAGATTACATGTTCGTTTTCCTAAAAAACCTAATGGGTCACCCGGCGTGTGCACACCGTACGGGCCCAAAGTCATCTCAAATGCCCGCCAACTAGGAAGGAAACAGTTTGTGCGAGCTTCTAGTGGACGGCGCCCAAACGCCCAACATTGTCATTTGACAGACATACATGCACCGCCCACATGCTTAAGACCTTATCAAAAGCAAATGCTATGCTGTAGCTGCGTTATTAGCGTCCGCGATCCCCTCAACCCTCTGCTTTCCACCCTTTCCCGACTCGGACCATGATCAGCAAGTCAAATTGCAGTACTGGCAGTCTGCTAACCCTACGCGCAGTCCTAGGTTACCACCAGGGTTTAAGGGGTTTTGGAGTGACCAGTAATTGTTTGACGCTGGCGAAGATCTTGAGAGCTTCTTCCTTTGGAATCCTGACATCTAGGTCATGGTAATAAGTGAGCCCTGCGTGCAGTCCTGCATCGGGGGTCTCTCCAAGGGACGTTTTACCCCCCCAGACTGCGCGCGGATCCACCACGGCCGGGTGGGTTTTGTCGCCCTTTACCACTTCGAGCAGGTTCGTGTCTTCTAGCTTCGCCACCCACTCCACATAACTGCGCCATAAGGATGAGACTTCGAGATCTGTAAGCCTGGCCATCTCCAAATATCAGTGATTCGGAAAAGCGTATGTCAGATATTCCCTGATCTTACCTCCGGTGTGAGCGCCCCGTGCCTGCTGTAATATCCGAAGGGTTGCAAATAGCTCAAACGGTTAATGCATTCTTGATTAATCAGAGAGGTTTGAACAGCGTCCTTTACTGCGCAGTCAGGGTTTGCCCTAACCGATATTCCAGCATGCGCGCCACGTGCTTGCAGTACCTCTTGCAACGGGTTGAAATCGATTGCCATGGTATAAAGTTCTTTGTTTCATGATCATCGATCTTTCTTGGCGTTCCAGCCTCACCTTGCCTCCAGCATGCGCGCCACAGGCTTGCGCGAGTGTGCCCAAGAAGCGTGACTCAACCACAAGGCTATTCAGAATATAACGGGTTAGTCTCCAGGTATAACAATACTTAGCTCTATCCTTAGTACCATCATAAGCGTCCTGCGCCACGTGCTTGCAGTATCCCTGAATCAGGAATTTGTCGTTGTCATCATGCATTTCTTTGTAATTTGCGATCAGAAGGTTTTTCCCCCCACATTCCCCAGGGTTATTCAACCCACCTTAGCTCCAGCATGCGCTCGACAAACTTGCAGTGGCTCCCAGGATCTGTGACTGAGTCATGACGCTACCAAATCCATTTCGAACCCAAAAAAACGCAAGAAATTTGCCACTCAGTTCATGGGTTTGCGCTAGCCTTAGCTCCAGCATGCACGTCGCGTGCTTGCAATGGGTCTCCAGAATCTGTGTCTTATCCATACCGAATCCTCAGTCAAACAAAATATTCAGAAGATCTTGTTGTTCGGTTTAAGATGGGGTTTGTGCTAACCTTAGCTCCAGCATGTGCGCGACGTGCTTGCAGTGGCTACCCAGGAAGGTGCCGTCCGTGCCGTACTGCATCAGTTGCACAACCACCGCCGCCGGCCGCATCAGCAGCGCGTGCATCATCTCCTCGCCCTCGACGCCCAGATACACGTCCATGCGCCGCATCATCGCAACCTGGGGAAGAGGCAAATCGATGATGACGTCAGTTGATGCAACCCTGCACTTAGAGACTTCTCGGCTTGCGAAACAAGAAATATCGCCGAGCCTTTGGCCTCCATGCGCAGGTACGCGTCCATGCGCCGCATCATCGCCACCTGGAATGACGGAGGTTGCTGACGTCAGCCGATGTGTAGACAATCAGCTGAAAGAACAGTGTGCTCTGACACGTCCACGGAAAGAGATGAACAAAATACTCATCGCCATCCACGCCCAGATACGCGTCCATGCGCCGCATATCTGCAACCTGGGTATAGGGGGGAAGTCTGTTTACGTGAGCAGGAGATGATGACGTTAGCGGATGGAATCCTGGACTGAAGTGTTTCGGCTTGCAGCAATCAGGAGAGAAAGATATAGACGTTCGAGCTTCCATGCCCAGGTACACGTCACCTCGCTGCAGACCGCCAGCTAGCAAAAAGAGGGAAAGAATCCAGTCCGACCATCTGGGAGAGCACGGACTTTCACTGAACCAAAGGATCTCAGCTGGCGGAGAAAATGTACTCCTGTCTCGTTGCTCTTCAACCAAAGGGTTCGGGCATGCCCCAAAAACAGACGGTTTAGCGGATCTCCGATTCTTGTCAGCATCTCCCAGCTGTCACCGCCGCAAACATTCCCCATAGGTTCGTGCGCTGGAAACGCAGCGCCCTTGCAGCGACTGTTATGCCGAGCATCTCACGAAGAGCTTTGCAACTACAGCAGCCAAAAGCTGATGGACGCGGGCCTGGAAAGTGGTCAACCAAGGGCCGTGGAAATGACGTCAAATGACAGAACCGCAGAGGAATTGCAATTCAGCCGCTCACCAGATCAGTCCAGGGCGTCTTGGTGCAGTGCATATCGCAGTCGAGAACCAGTACGTCGAAGCCCGCCTCCCGCGCCCAAGCTGCGACCTCCTTCTCATTGACTAGCCTCCGCTTCCCGGTCTTGGTCAGGATCCCGAGCGTCGGTTTCTTTTTTGCGGTTTCTACGGGAGACGGTAGCGGGGTCGGGAGACCCATTCCGGCCGCGACGGCGTCGCTGAACCCGCGGAGCTTTACGCCCGCAAGGGACTCGTCCAAGTGGCCTTGCGAGTTGATCATGTCGTAAAAGATGAGGTGCGACTTGAGGCCGATCTGAATCGAGAAAGCAAGGTATGGGAGTGGAGGAACAGGGCAGGAGCTCAGGAAATGCGAGCTCAATTTCTCTTCCGAGGCGACTAAGAGGAAATCTCGGCGAGAAGGCATGTCAGGGCCTGACAACGCTGCTCAGAAGCTGCAGACAACAAGCAATCTGGCGAGAGTTGAACCCTTGTGGTTGGTCTGCAATTAAGATCGACACCGCAGTTTGTTTTCGTAGATGAGGAGTGACTTTAGCTCAAGTCACGATTCGTTTCGAAGTTCGACACGAGATAGAGCCACTGACAGAATTCTGTGCACTTGCTGAAGGAAAGGAAGCGAAGCACAAAACGCGAACAGAAATTCGTGCGACCAATCTGCTGCGCTGCTCACGTGCACTTGGCACAATCGAACCACAGACTTCACTGAGTCGTCCGCATGGTCACTCGATGCTTCTCAGTTGCAATGAGCAAGGAGATTTCTCGTGCGATCGGCCGGGCTCACGGACACTTTGCATTCCATAAACTACGGGGCGTCGTCCCAGAAACCACTTCAAGCTTCCATACGAAAATGAATGGAGAGTTTTGGAAGACTTCAAGCGATCAGGGCTTACGTGCACTTTGTAGAAGCAGTCCATGAATTTCGCGGCATCATCCGCAAAGTCGTCCACTGCAGCAACGTGCACCTGAAAACGACCGTCCCAACCGGTTGAGCACTCAAAGTCGAGAAGACAAGGTTCCCTTATTTTTGTGCTTGTCGATTACAAGAATAAAGAACCGTGGTTTGAAACCATGTTGCCACGTGGACACACGGTCTGGCTGCACGTTCAACTGCAAGTAGATTATTGGGCCTTCTGCCATCGGCACTAGATCCTTAATGGCGCTGCAGTTGTAAGCACAACTGCCAAACACCGAGCCTTCTAGTTCCAGCGCATAGATCCTGGACGCTTCGAGCTTAAGAACACTTCCAGCATCCCAAATCTTGCATCCTCAACCTCCTGTTACGTCTTATTACCTCCTGTCCGCACCTTAAACCTTGGCAAAAGACCTGCATTAACTCGGGGTTGCGAAGCTTCTGAAAACCCGTGAAGCCTCAAAAGCTGAAGTAACAAACCTCCCTTTTACGCATTCGGCTCCACCTTTTGAGAAAAGGCCTACATTTCGAAAAAGGCCGAGGGAATCCCTCAGAGAGTCACATACCCTGACGCCACAATTCATTCTTTACGTATTTAGCCGTTACCTTGTAGTTGGAGAACGCCTGGATCATCTCGATGTTGCTGACCGCCCACCACGCCTTGTCGATCACGTGCAACACCACCTCGCCCCGGTACTTGGCTGCCGTCTGGTACAGTGGAAGAAACTGCAGGGAAACAGAGATGACGTCAGCACTGCGACGAATTTGCAATCCGGATGACGTCAGCAGCGGTGTTGGGATGATGATTGCGAACGTGCAACACCACCTCGCCCCCGGTTCTTGGCCGCAGTTCGGTACAGCAAGTGAACTGCGGGAGAACAGGGATGACGTCAGCGATCGGAGTGAACCACAGGCGGAATGACGTCAGTCAAGGGCTTTGTCAATTTACGTGCAGCACCGCCCCACCCCATTTCCTGGCCGCCGTTTGGTAAGCGGGAGGAACTGCGGGGAATCATAAATGACGTCAGCGCTTCAGAGCGACGTCAGCAGGGGTCTTGGGAACGACGAGTACAGTCGTGCAACAGAAACTCGCCCCGTACTTTGCAACAGCGGGAGGAATGGTGGGAATAAAAGGATGACGTCAGCATTTGGAGGAATGTCAGGGAGATTGAAAGTTAGAAATAGGGTCAGTGGCGGAGTAGGAGGCGGACAAGCTTGACTTGTCCAACAGAACGCAATCGTGAATCCGAAATGAAAGCGTCGCCCATGAACGCAAGCACACGATCCATCTGAGTTCTCTATTTCCACTCATCTTTCGGCCCTTCTTTGGGCTCTGATACGATCCTCAAGGGACGTCTTGACATTTTGCGCCCCTCCTTGAAAGATGACAAAGTCAACTTGAGGCCGCCACATACCACGTCGCTGTAGTCGTTGACAAAGTTGCCGATCATCCCGCCAACCGAAAACACGAGCACCGGCAGCGTCGTCGGCTTCATGTTGACGCACTTGCCGAGCCCCAGCGCATTCGCGGTCGGCTGCACCGACAACTCGATCTTGCTGACGTCGCTGCATGGAGTGGAGCGAAGTTCAATACTCTGCTGACGTGTCAAGTGGTTTAGTCTGTTGACGCACTTGCCGAGCGCCAGCGCTTTCACTGATGGGCTGCACCAACAGCTCAATTCTGCTGGCACGGAGCGGAGTGGGAGTTTGCTGACGTGATTAAATGGTTTTAACTCCAAGCTGGTAAGTCTTGCCGTTACAAGCAGAAAGTATGACACTCTCTCTTGTGCATAGCGGATGCTAATGGTTAACTTAGCCAGTGACAGGTATTTTGTGGTACCATAGTAGGGTTCTCCAATCCGGTAGCCACACGATCTGGGCTGTGAAACATTAAGGGGCCCCGTACAAAAGCAGGAAGCTTGCTGTTCAGCAATTTGTTGCTCTGTTTTCGACCTTCCACGACCATCATAAAAACCTCAGTCCTCGACAGCTATGAGTCTGTCCACGCCTGATGGGCGAGTCGCTTTTATTTCGTCACGTATTCATCCAACTTGGCGCACGCAAAGGCTTTGTAACAGCTCACGTTCGCATGATGGCTTCGTCGAACTTGCGCGGGTGCGGCTGGATGTGGTACGTCTTCCCGAGCAGCGACGGATTGTCCGACAGGAGCACGATGCGCTTGCCGTCGCGCATGATCCGCACATCGCCCTGCGACGACGCGCACCCGCTTGTTCGTCAGCATGGAGAGTTTACTGTGACAGGCGCTGACAAACACCCGATAAAAGACTCAAGACGAGATAAGTGTTCTGGATGCATGTAAAGATTCGAGACAAGAAGTATAGTGTTCAGAATGCAAATAGAGGGTTGAGAATCGACCCTTAAGGTTTGCGGCTCAGCTTATCATCCCCATGCCAAAAAGGGACTTGTTGCACAAACGACTCTCAGCAACTCCATCAGTAACCGAAGTTAATGGACTCTCGGATCAGAGACTTGACCTGGGATGCTGAGTCGCTGACAAATGCTCAACCCCGAGAGTTTCTCGACTTAACAGCCTCAGAGCGGAGCGTCAGCGCGACGTGGCACATTTCCTAGATTTGGTTGCCCTTCTCGCACCCGAAACTCTCGAGAATAGATGCTCTAGACCATGGTGTTTTGGGACGTTCGGTTTGAAACAGTTTCAAAACTGGAACCACTTTAAACCGGAAAGCGGAGCCTCACCGTGACGTGGCACATGTCGCAAATATGGTTGCCCTTCTCGCACCCGAGGCTCCTATGTAGATGCTCTATCCCATGGTCTTTTAGACTTTTCGAAGCAACCCCCGAAACGTAACGACTTTGAAACACAAAAGCGGAGCCTCACCGTGACGTGGCACATGTCGTAGATGTGGTTGCCCTTCTCGCACCCGAGGCTCTCGGGTATGTCCTTAGCCTGCTCTGCCTGGGGCTTCCACCCGGGACTGTCGAGCGGAAGGTGCTTTTCCTGAGCGAGCGCGTACTGCAGGTTGAACAGCTCCTGACGCATCACCTGCGCCTCACGCTCCAGCGCCGCATACTGGAAACGATAAGAAGGCTCTTTGCTTGGTTGCGAAATGACGAGATTCGACGGTTATTTTGAACGAGTCCCGGCGTATCACCTGAGCCCCACCATTCAGCGCCGCATTCTGGAGAAAGAGAAGCGCCACACCTAATTCAAGGGGACATTAACGGCCATGCAAGGGGCAGTTTGAAGAACTTTTGGCGGATCATTGTGCCCTTCGTTCCAATGCGACATACTGGGGAAGGATGACACACCCTACGCTTTCAAAGGTCTCTCATCGTCCGGGGTTTCGGAATCAGAAAAGTTGAAACCCTTTCCACGCTAGATGGACTGCCAAGCGATCTCGGCTGCATCAAGTGAGCCAGAAGCGACATGGCACACTGCAAAATTGGGAGGGTTCAGGCGCCCGCTTCCTCAACGCCTCCAAGCCATCCGGTCCAGGTCTTTGCGTACTGCGTTGCTTGTTCGCATATTGATGTAAGAGGTGTCAAGCATGCCAACACTTGAAAAGAGGAACCTAGAGGTGGTCGTACAAGGTCTGATCAGGAACTCTGTTGTAAGGAGCTGCAAAGGAGTATGCAAAAGTTGATGACTGAGATGTTTGCAAGCTTTGGTGCCTCACCTGGCCCCGAAGGTCCTGCAACTTGTGCTCTAGCTCCAGCTTCTGGTTGCTGCTGATACGCCACGCATCCAACGCTGCCACCTGGCGGGACAAAGTGGTTGTTTGAACAAGCTGCCAGTCTGGCAAGAAGTCACAAAAGACTTCTTTGAAAGTGGAGGGGTGCTTCTCCTGCTTCCGCAACTGGTGAATCCTTTTCCCATTTAAGGCGTCCCCTTTTTCCAACATCTTGCCCCCAATTCTCCTTCACCTATTGCAAATTGATGTCAATACTTCCAGTGACTGACTGTTTCCAATCTGTTGTCGAGTTCTGTCGTCGATCGCAGCTCAATGCTATCAAACGGTACGACTAGATTGCATCCGATCGCCACTCACAAAAAAATCGCTTGGTCTTTGTCTCTCACCTGTTTCTGCAGGTTATGAAGCTCCTGCGTCGCACCGCGCACCTCGTTGACAGCTGTCACATGTTCCCGGTTGGCTGCCTGCCATGATGCCAAAACCGCCCGAAAGACATTGTGGCATTGAATGAAGGGGATGCACGCTGCACGGCAAAATGGGACTCAACAAATGAAGTGGGGCACTTGACGTCTGTTTGCGGAAGCTTAGAAGGCACTCTGAGTTCGCACTTCATCAATTCGAGGCAAGCGTGCAGAAACGCGGTACTAGAAGGTGGGAGACTGCACACCAAATACCGGAGCTACCACTTGCTATTTACTGTCCTATTTCTCCCAGGTCGCCTCCAGTCAGTTTCTAGCAGCATGCACTCCTCGATGCAGCCCAAGCACAGAAAGCAGATCACAAAAACATCAAGCAAGTGGATGTAAGCTGACTGAGCACCAAATCCAGAAAGCAGGAACTTCATAAAAAATGTCAGGCATGTAGCGCCTCACCTGACATGATCAGCACGATCCCAACGCACAATGCAGCGAGAACCCGGATATGTTGCAGACACCGCGTGACACCTGTCAGCGCGGTGGCCCCGCTCTTGGATGGAGTGCTTGCGTGGTCCATTCCTGCTCCTCAGATCCGCATGCTAGTTCAGAGACGATGGCATGTCCTGCATCAATGAAGCATGTATGATGCTTGGAATAATGTGGAAGGAATAAAAGGGACACAACTGTGCTTGTGTAATAGTGGTTGCACGCGGTGTGAGACGTCAGTCAAACCTGGCGATCTTGCGGGAGTAGGTCATCAACAAAGTTGAACATCTGGTCAGGACTTGAGAGCGCCTGAGGCAAAATGGTGGGACCCTGCTTAGAAATGGGAGAACTTACGATTTACCCAAACTTTGCAAAGCTAGGCAACTAGTCTAGGTGGTTTGCTCAGACTCTGGGCAGTCCACAGATTCACCCACTCTCACCGTCCACCAACTTCTGGAGTAAGCTTGGAAAAAGGTGTGCCTGTGAGAAGCACACGTCCACGTACACATTGATCAAACACCTTCTTGCACATGCTTGCAGCCGCTCGGCATTGCGTCGTTCACAGAAGAACTTACAATAGAATATCCTTCACGTGGTATGCTCACCTCTAACATCACATCACTCAAGAGGTGCAAGAGCCCCCTTCTGCATCAACGGGGCTTCTACAGCTTCGCTTTACGAGCAGAACTGGTCCTTAACGACCGCGCTTTGCCAAGGCTTCTCCAACCACAAACTTCAATGGCCTGCAGACTTCTTAGGTTCCAAGTCGAATGAGGACGAGGAGATTCAATGTCCGGTCGCTGTTGAGCAAGTCCTCCCTCCTTCAGCCTCCTTACATGTAATACAACCAGCTGAAGCAAGGCTGAAGGCAGCATGAACTTGATGAAGCCCAAAGAAAATTTCCAATTTGAAATTGAATGCTTCAGGTGAAGTTGAAGTTGAAGTTGAAGTTGAACTTGAAGTTGAAAGCATTTCTGTCAAGCAGGCCCGGGCTCTGAGTCTACGCAAGAACGCGCCAAAAACAGTCAAATAAATCCTGAAAATCCTGAAACCCTACAAATTTGATAATCATAAACGTCCACATTTAGGCAGTTCGGATCAGGTGGTATTTTGTTGCGCCCCCAAACCCCAGCCAAAAACGCACGTGAGTTTCCATCCCGGTCGCCGCAAGCCTCGGCTTGGCATGGCTAGAACACGTCGCCGTTTGCAGTCAATCCCATCCCTCAAAAGGGCCACGACAAGGCGACCAGAAGCTGGACGCTCCACGTAAAGGAACCCTCAAGGTATAACCGCGAGGTATAGCCTGAAGGATTCAGGGCAACATCTGTCGGCCGTATCCGTATTTTACGCCCGGGTTAAGTGCAAGTTAGATGGCAGCCGGTCTGAATAGCGCAGACCCGGGGGTCCGAGCTGGGGAAGTTTCAAGATCCTCAAATTGATTCGCTGAATGCTGCAGGGGGTAGCCGGGCTGTTCTTCCGACTCAGCAATCCTCTCATCTAGAATTTTGGGTCACCCGCTAACTTTTAGGCGCATGATCATTGATGCAGTCGAAACTTGGTCCAGATCACATTGACCTGGCATCCCTTTTCCGGGAATGGCGGGCCGGGATGTCAGCTCGTGACAAAGTTCTGGGGATGCTCCGAGTGACTGCTGAGTGGTCAATCATCAATGAGTCGCCAAATGCCAATGGCTTCCAAATCTGTGTTGAACACTGTTGACATCAGGCTGGCCAACTTTCAATGCTTCAGTTCCAAAGACGCCTTGGCTTCGGTAGCTCCTCAGTTCCTCTGCTGAGGTGTTCGTGAAAGGTTCCACATTTGGGGCGTCAGACGAAGTTGTCGTTTAAATCAGGTGGGGGATGCGTAAGGGTTTCGGAGCTTGTACTTGGATTGTTCCCCGCTCCGTCGAGGTAGCCAGCTCAGCAAAAGTGGAGTCAGGGCGACAAGCATCTGCTGTGTGCATTGCTGTCAACTTGCTGAGCAGATCTAGGGGCGGATCTCTTTATGGTGTCAATAGCTTGACATCTCATCAAGCCACCTTAATGGAGGAGTCATGAATCCGTTTTTGCACGGGCCGAGATCACATAGTGGGCTTCCGGAGTAACTACTCCAGATCTTCCCGGCTGTCTCCTTGGATTTGAGTTTCAGGGACTTTGCTTGGTTGGCAAAAGGTAAGGGGGTTTGGAATCCACTTCACTTTCAGCCTTTTGAGTTGCATTAGGTCGCAGAATGCACTTCTGTAGACATTCAATTTGTCCTGGCGCTCAAATCAGAAATCAGAAGATTGCCGTTGTTTGACACACTGAATAGCTGTTGGTGCATGTTTCGAAAAGCTGAAGGCAGGTGTTGGGCTTTGGTGTGGATCGTATGGTTCAGTTTTTTGAAGGAAAGTGCAAGCAATCTTTGTCTAACAGTTGCTGCTTTTGGAGACGCTGGTTCTGTTGGATGTTTTCTGGAGGAATGCAGGACTTCTACGCAAACAAGGTGCGCATGGCTGCTAAATGCCGCCAATAAACCCGTCTCGTCTGTGCGTCCTGCAGCAGTAAATGAATAGTCCGCCTCGGAGGACAGTCGCAGGCGTTCGCAACCGATCCAGTGACTCGCTTTCCACATTGGGGGGCTCAGGCAGCACTGAGACCCTTTTCCGGAAGATCAGCATTCCGGAAGCGTCAGGGGAGGGAGTCACAATGGTCGTCGCTACGCCCAACAGTGTCAGGAGGGGCCAAGGGTAAGGCCAACTAACTATTCTTGATGGAGGGTGTAATAGTGCAACCTAAGCAGGTATGTGCATTGAGGCGGGCGTGCGATTAAAGTGGCACATATCTTGGAAAAACGCACAGTTCTCTCCATGCAAAGCTGTCACATCAATCAGGTCTGTGCGGAGTCATTATGACTTCTTTGGTCCACAAGCGCCAGCTCTCAAACCATGCGTGCAGATCCATGGTCAAGGCCAATGCTGTGCAGCTTTTTGATGTCCGAGCTTGTTTGATCCAGTCGTGTCAACGAATTCAAGACAGGCACCGTCTGAACTTCCAGATTCCTTGCTTATCAAGTTGCGGTGCATTATGTAGTTTCCAGTTTCAGACCATGGTAAGTTGGCCTTCTCAGGACTTTGGCGAGTTGATCCAAGCCTCCTCAGAAGATTGTGAGGAAGCTAAGCGCTCCCTTATACAGGCTCAAATAAACGAAAATTTTCTTCCCGCGCGAAATTTCGGCACTGCTCCCTCCCTTACAACAGCAGCTGAGAACAAGCCCAGACATGGACCCAATTCCCCTAAGACATTATGCACTGACCCCTCCAGCCAGTAGCTATTCACAAAATCACACACCTTATTGATAGTCTCATCGTAAATGCACGCAAATTTATGCTGATTGGCTTCGTCCCTCCTCCCCACAGCCGCCCCAAACCAGACCAACTGAAGCAACTAGAAAAGGGAGCCTCCTCCGGCGCCTCAGATTCCGAAGATGAGGAAGCCCCCAACGAGAAGCAACGGCTGATCTCCCCCCTCGGCGCAAAGACGCCCATTTCCTGGCTGTCGCTCTTTGCTAGCAAGTCTTTCATCGCTGGCGCTGCATACACATGCTCGTCAATTAGCATGATTCTGCTGAATAAGCTGGTGCTCTCGGGGTTCGGGTTTGACGCACCAAACGCGCTCATGTTTTTCCAGGTAAGAGGAGGTACCCTTTTGTCGCATCTTTCTTCGTCTTGCCGGCGGCTGCTTGATGTTGTCGCGTTCTGGTCATATCGATTTCTTGGCAAGTATGATGATGAAGTATGGGCACCTTTTTAGAGCGCTTGATGGGACTGTCAGCCTGACGGTTTTTGTATTAAATTTTAGTTGTGATAAGTGGATGCGTTTGTGAGTCACATCTGCTGGTCATGTCCAATTATGTGGCTCAATGCACTTGTGCAAACCTTGTTTTCTCTTTCTTACCTTCGTTTTTCCTTATCATACGCAATAGGTAGACTTTCACGAATCCTGCCGACCTTTCATCAGCTGACTGCATGTTTCTGATCGCAAATTTGTGCCTTAGTATCTGGCCCCTTTCAGTTCCGCACTGCAAAGCGAATGGCTGTACCGGCGTCCGTCTCTAGTTCAGTCGTTCAACGAAATCGAGCGCTCTGAAGGAGACTGGATCAGGCAGAGGAGATAATTGCGGCCCCTTATGCCAGCAATCCCAGAATCTTGGTTGTCCCACTTGGAAGACCCATCGATCCTAAGTTACTTCATCCTGTGGAATGAGTCGACGAGACCTCTCTGATATTATAAAAGCAGGGCGTGCAATGAAGGACCGAATGAATGTTTTTGCGCATACAGAACTCGATTGCGGTGATCATTGTTGGCACGCTCAGTGGTTTGGGGCTGGTCCACACGGAGCGCATCACGTGGCGCCTCGTGCGGATATGGCTGCCGGTCAACCTCATATTCGTGGGCATGCTGCTCAGCGGGTTCAATAGGTGAGCTACCTTTCGCTCTTCAAAGACCCTTAGCGCCGCAATTGCAACTCAAGAATGAACTCCGTGGAGACTAGATAGTACTTGTCCACCGGATTCCCTTTCCATGCCCAGATCTGTTCCCCCACTGTCTTCTTGCTGTGCGGAGGGCTTTGTGGTCTGGGATTGGCCTTTACTTCTCTCTTGTATCACAGATGCGTCTATGGTATGTACTCCTCCTCCTTCACGTTGTCTACCATCCTGGGGAAGAGCGCTTTGAGCAGCTCTCTCGGGCCCGTTCTCACAACTGTTTTTGTTTCCTCCTCCATCTTCAAGGCTGGAAGATTGACCAACATTTCAACTCATGTCTAAGGGGGTTGATTCAGGTTTGGTTAACAAGTCCGAGCGCAAACCCAATTGTGATCTGTCTGTGTGCAGTCTAAAGTACATGCAAGTTGCGATGGTCACCATCTTGAAGAACACAACCAACATCCTAACCGCGGTCGGGGACACCCTCTTCTTTGGGAAGCGGCATAATCGAGCCACGTGGGGCTCACTGGGGCTTGTGGTGAGACAGGTGTCAGCTTCTTGTCTTGCCACTTGTCGCTGCGGCCGCATGCTCAGGAGAAGCCGGTATTGCCTTGATTATTCGTGGACCCTGGGGGCTTCAAAAGCTAACAATCCTTCTGGAAGGCCACGTGCGGCGCTCATACAGTCTGGCACACGAGTCTTTTCAGTTTCCTTGCCTGATAAGAGCCCTTGAAGATGGTTGAATCCGGAGATTCCTCATCAGCATAGCGACCTACTTTTGCTGCGTTCGTCTAGGATACTTGGCCCGTCAATCGCTTGCTCTAAGAGACGAGTAGAAATCAATTTGCGTTCTTGTCTTGCAGATCTTGTCGGGAGTGGTGGGAGGTATCACGGACCTGTCCTTCAACCCGCTGGGTTATATGTGGCAGGTCATCAACTGCTTTTTCACAGCCGGGTACTCGGTACGTGGCAGCAATCAGCAATCAAGTCTCCTCAATCAGTAAAGTCAACCCATAGGATAGGAATTCCATGCAGTTACATGGTCCGAATGCAGCGACTCAGGATACCCGATTGAGCGTCAGTGCCGTTGCCGTGTGTCAACTGAGCTAGGGTCAGCACTAGGCGCTCTCCGAATGCACTTGCTTCAATAGGAGGAGGATTTCTTCGCCTTCAGTAGGGGTTAAGCAGTCTACTGAAATCACGTTGCTTCATGAATGATGATTTGGGAGCTTGCAAGAGGCTTCCTATTGTCCCCGGCTAAATGTCCCCAAGCGTCACGAGACGCTCAACTTCCTGACTGTGGCCACTTCGCTCGTAGAACAAGCCAGGCCCCCCAGTCTTGAGGTGTCTGCATTCGTAAAGATTGAAGTGGTTCATCGAGGATTCCTCAACGATCTCTCTTTGAAGCAACTATTTGCTGGCTTCTTGATTTGTCGCTTGAAAAACAACGGACCGAAGAACAATTGCTTGTTTCTGGCAGCTGCATTTGCAGGAGGCACGGGATACGACATTCACTTCGTAATCACTGAAACCTCTCACAATACGGAAGGCAGGATCCGACTCGTCTTCTCCGCAGCTGTAATCGCGGAAGGCAATGGAAACTGCGAGGCCACCAAGTTCGGGACGGCACATAGATGTCACAATCTCAAACATAGCGCACTCAAAAGCTGACAAACTGAGAGTTCTCTTGGAACGAAAGGCTCGTTCCGGCTCGTCTTTTCCGAACCTCTATCTGCGAAAGGCGATGGGTGGCTACCAAGTTCGAGATGGCATACAGACGTCAAAATTTCAAACATGGTACGGCATTCAGACCTGACAGTGAAATCCTCACAAAGGACACGGCACGTAATGCTTACACACTCAATCCTCTCACGACACGAAAAGCCAGATCCGAGTCGTCTTTTATGCAGCTGTATCTGCGGAAGGCGATGGACACGGCGAAGGCGGCGACCAAGTCCGGCACGCTCAACGAGTACTCCATGGTCATGCTCAACAACTTGCTCAGCTTGCCGCTCATCCTAGTTCTCGTCTGCCTCACGGACGAAGTCTCGCGCCTCAGGGCCTCGTGAGTGCCCTGGTACCACCACCTGTCCTTTCCAAAAGTGTTGCCGTTTCCTGAGTATAGTATGTAGGCCATTGCAGTTATGATGCGAGATGGAAGGAAGATCAGGTCCCTTCGAATGTCAAATTTAGGGCAACTCGTCGGCATTTGCCGACATTCTTGGGTAGTCCAGTATGGCGACTGGGAAATTGTCGATGTGTATCTTAGTTGTCGCTGTGTCAGATGCTGTTTGTGTTACCGGAGGAATTCTACCGACATCATTGGATTGCTTGCCACTTGATTCCATAAATGCCAGTCTAGTTGTTTGTTCTGATTGAAGTCTCAAGTAATCGTCAAGACAAAGCCTGAACTGGCAGATGATAGACGAAGCAAACATCACCCATTGTACAATGAGAAAGTCGACTGTTGCACAAGGCCTGTCCTGTGCCAACGCTCGTGTGTATTTCCCAATCTCTGTGATTGGGACCCTGCAGCAGCGGTCTCGGACTCGTTCTTCTTCCAACCAATTGAAATCTGTCAAAAGTTCGCTTCCGCAGCCCCACTGAACGTTTTTCTTTTCCTTCTCACGATAACCAAAGACCTAACCAGAGGTGAGAGAAAATTGAGAGCAGAAACCGAAGACGCGCCACCCCTGTGCAGGCCGTTGCTGGTGGTTCCCTCGTTTTGGGTGGCCGCATTCTTCAGCGGCCTTTTGGGGCTATCCATCAGCTTCAGCTCCCTCTGGTTCCTACATCAAACCAGCCCGACCACTTACAGGCAAGCGTCCGCGCCCCCTCCCTTTGTGTCCCCTCTCAGGCCCCTTCAACACAGGGTCAAGACGTTGCTGGGCCAGGTTGCATTGCAACCGGCACGAAAGTCTCAGGTTTTGGAAGTTCCGTCTGATGCCCGGTCATTTTGCGACACATGAGACACTTCCTCGAAGAAGATGTGGTCCCTTTGCTGCAGAGGGCCGAGCCTATCCCTGCACGAGTCTTCCGCATAAGTTGTTTCAGAGTTGCTAGGCGTCGGTCGAGACTGTATGGGCAAGGAATGTGCTTTTGGTATACAGGTCATGGTGCTGTCAGCAAGTGACTTGCGCAAAAAGCTAATGCGCCCTTGTTGCGTAGGTTTTCGAGTGCCATCACCAAGCTGATTGCTGATGTGCGCACTCTCTGGTTGCACCATAGCCGGAAAGGTAGAAATGTATCTTTCTGTTTTGCTGTGCAGTTTGGTGGGCTCATTGAACAAGATTCCGCTCTCGGTCATGGGCATCTGGTTCTTCAATGCGCCCACGACGTGGCCGAACCTGGGCAGCATTGCTGTCGGTAAGCGTTTACACGCCCATGTGATGCCTGCCATTCCTTTTTGTCATTGAGCGCAGTCCATGTCGGTCCGTACTGTAGTGGCTGCCATCAACGTCCTTCTGAGCAACGTGCTTGTAATAAAAATGGCTTGTTCGGAAGTTTTACTTTTAGGATAGTGAACCTTGTTTTGGTTGTCGTCCTTCTCTCGATAGCACTACGCCTGCCTCGTCCAAGATTTGTCAACCGAAACAAAAACGCCGTGCCTCTCTCCTTGTCGACAATCGCTTGCGAACAGACTTCTGCTCATTTTGCAGGTCTCCTTGCTGGTATCTTGTTCACTCGGGCAAAGATGATGGGTTGAAAGTAGGACGGTACTGCCAATCATTGGGTTTTTCAGTTTGTTCAGTGTATGTTCGAATACTGGGTCTGGTGAAAGTTCGAGTACTGGTGACCTGGGGACTCTGATGCAGCTTCAGAAAATCCTAACCAATACCGTAGGTAGCCATACATACTTAACCACATTGTCCCCTTTGTCTTGGTTGCCATCGGCGTAAACGTGTCACTGGAAGACAAAGAGCTTGATGCTGTTTGATGCCGAGGGAGGTCGGAATCCTGCTTTCACTACGCGGCAGCAAGTGGACATGCATCATACTTCGACAGATGTGCCCGTGTCTATTAGGAAAGCCGGCGGGTGGTCTTGCATGAATCTGATAAAAACTGCTCAGCAATTTTGGCCTGCCCCAATGCTGCCTATCTGTGAAGGTTGCCTATGATTCTAGAATCCGCGTGATCGAAACCGTCTTAAGGAATGGTTCCCTGATTCGATGATAACCTCCTCCCCAAGGACTGTCTCCACTCGTTGATTGAGACAACATCCTGCATATACACATCTTAGACATGAATCCATTGCCAGCCTTGTTGCTTTGAACAACTAGCTTCGACCGCCAACGTCTGCTCGTGGACTAGTTGTCTAAAGAGCTAGGTGGGACGGTTCCGTGCCAAGGTCAATCTCATCCTCTCATCCGGCCACGTGAACTGATCTCAAGAAACAATAGCTCGCATTGCGAGGGCTCATGGTCGGACCGGAACCATTTGTCGTCAACGAGGACGACGAATATTGGACTTCGTCGTTGTCGTCGTTCTACACTACTAGGTATACTTATTCTACTTAATTAAGTTAGCTCAGGGACGGGCCATGCTTCAGGCCGCATGGTCTTGACGGTGGTATGAGACCGAGGGACTCTGCGAAAATCGACTCTCGATCCCCTCTCGATAGATCGCGGGTTCAAATTTCCGACCTGGCTGCGATTCCAGTTGCATGATTCGCACTTTCTTTCCGGAAAGAAAGTGATGATGACTTCTCCTAGTAGCCTCCGGGCTGAAAGGGTTGCTACAACACGCCTCGACTGTTGAATACTTTTAGCTACAGTGCAGACATTACACATACAATACCTACTGATCCTTCGTGGGAATTTCGTGTTCTTCACTGAGCCCCAGCAATTCCATATGTTCCGACAGCATCTTGTCGGACATTCCATCATGGCATCCACATCCGGAGTCCGACGGAGTCCGACGGAGTCCGGACTGCGGCCGCCAGGGCCCAGGACACCAGTGCCGAGAAGGGACGTCACTGGAAATTGACGTCAATCGCAAGCTCCAGGACGTACGGGCAGTCGAGACCGTTAAATCGGGCCCCGGCCATTCTCGTACCAGTACTGAGGGGGACCAAACACCACTGAAACAGAGCGAACCATGATCCGCACCGTCAGATGAGACATTTTCCGATCTGGACGGTCAAGATTGCATAGTTTAGATGTCCCGAGCCCAATGCGGTCCTCGGTTAGTCTGAGGAAAGGGTTAAGGCAAGTGTTAGAGGTGGGTTGATAGTTTTTTGGGTGGTTAACCCACCTAAACCTGCCCCCAATTCGTCCTAAACGGCGCGTTGCCCGGACCCCAAACTCTGGGTTTTGAAAGGTGACCCTGTGGAGGTTCAATCCCAACAATTTTCAGTTCCGGGCAATTCGCCGTTTAGCTGCTGGCACATGGTTCATGTTGCTAACTTTCTTACCCGGGGCGTTTGGTCCCCCTGCCAGTACTGACCGGGGTGGTTTTTCCGGTCACAAGGTCTTTCCTTTTCCACTCTACCGGTGCCAGCCCTCAGTGATGTAGGCTGAAGGTACTTGCATACGGACGGCACAAGCTGAGTCGCTGACTAGGTGTCCCGAGTTCCGACTCCTTGCTCTTACACCCGAGTCTATTCCCGGTCGTAGTACTAGTCGAGTCCGGATACGGTACATTGCCGTGTTTTAGACTGTGTACAGCTAGCCTGAGCTGGGCTGCTCAGTGCTCGTACATGTGCGTTTTGCTTCATATGCAAGGTGCATGCACATTGCACATGCTGCACAGGACTAAGGTCGAGTGCTGCTCAATTGATGTCCAACAATGCTCGTATTTGCACTGATTATCATTCAGCACGACAAAAGTTTCCAAGGCAGATCGAGAGCATTTCTGGTTCTCACAGCTCGTCTGTCTCGGTGCATACCTAGCTGTAAAAAGCAGGACGCTATCAGCATTGCAACACTTTCCCGAGAGTGACAGCTTGTATTGTGCTCAGCTTTGTGAACCAGGCGGGCGCAACCGGCCTCAGAAATGCATCGTGGGCCTGTACTGCGTCCGCTGTAGACTGTTGATGGTGGTACGTGGTTGCTGAGACTAATTAAGCTCGATCAGTAAAAGCAAATGGCTCCGTTGAATATAGTGGTTCTAGGTGGCAGCGGCAATGTCGGGTCCAAGCTGGCGCACAGACTGGCTGTTGCAGGTGAGCGCTTGCCGTCAGGGGCCTGCAAAGATTTGCTATTGCCGCACCAGTTGGTTGATTGTGGTCTCTGTGCATCACTCCCATTGTCTTTCTCCACTTAGCAATCTACTCTGTCTAGCTAGAAGGGTGCAAAGAGCAATGCACGCAAAGAGCATCAATGTTTGCAGAATTATGAGATACAGTGGCTTAGTGAATAGGGAAGCTGTGCGCAGAGCCTCTTGAATAAGTCAGTGGTGGTATGAAGCACCATTAGTGGTGGATCAAATTTCTGTGTGGGCCTGCAATTGAATGCAGCATGTGAATGGAACACATTTTGGAAAAAGCCAAACGCTTGCAACTGGAACCTTCTTCTCATCTGAAGTATACATTGCCTCATGCTTTACTCAAAATGCTGTTGCTAATTCTCACAAGGTTACAAAACGCCTGTCCTCATGGACAAAATGCAAGATTGCGCGAAAGTTCTCACCACCTCAGTCAGTTGAACGCTGGAGAGAGGCGCAATTTTGGCAGCTGCCTTGGAAAAAGGCAATGTTTGAGAGCGGTTTTATGAGCAATGGCCCACTGAGAAAGTAGATCAGGCACTCATACAGTAAGTAACAAGTCAAGAGTCCTTATCAAGCTGGCGGATCATAGCTGTTCGGCACTTCTAGTTACCCTCCACTTCCCATTTGAAGATCCTCGGTCACCATCCCCTTCTTAACACTCTTCCGCAGGTCACAACCTCATCTTAACATCTCGGAACCCAACCGACGACAAAGCAAAGGCGGCCGTCGAGTTTGTCGCCTCTGAGGGCGCAAGCGGGACTGTCAAGTCGGCGAGCTTTGAGGAAGCGAAAGCTGCCAAGATTGATGTGCTCATTGTGGCGACCCCAGGAATGACCTCCCCCACAGAATGGTCGCCGGTGTTGACCCCCCTTGGGGAGCTGGAAGGGGTGGTTGTCATTGATGCTTCAAACCCGGTGAGCGGAAGTTTTCGTCACCGCTCTTGCTTTCATGTGCTACCAACAAATGCAGAGTAGTATGTACTGCCTCCTCTGAACTTTTTTTCTCCCTTTCCCGCCCTGCAAGCAGGTTTTCGTAGTCATTTCTTGATTCAGAGGGCTCCATCATCTGTTGCTGTGACTCCTTCGAAGTTGTCTCTCTTGCATCATTGGCCTCTCCTACCTATTTGATATATTTGACCTATTTGTGCATTTAAGAAAGATGGATCTGTCGTTCCTGGCAAACTAGATCATGCCACAACAGCCCGCCTGTGTCCTCGAGGAACGGCTTCCCTTTTGTGATGAAAGACAAGCGGGTTCCAGAATGCACGTAGAGGACGATTCGGGTTTCTTTTCAGCAATCAAACAGAAATGTTCCATTCGAGATGCAGCTGAGATCGCACAAAACAGGGACTGTCAGGATTAGTAAGTGCCGAACGATTCCTGTCCTTGCCGTCTTTCGAAAGGCCGCAAAGGTCTCACGCATCGCTTGCTTCTTGCAGCTCACTAGTTGGCCAAACTTGGACATCGCTGTGAACCAGAACCATGCCAGCGCCTCCGATCACATTCAGAGCGTGAGCTCCTCAAACACTTTTCTCCGTCCCCAATTCTTATCGACCTTGAGTCTGCTTTCCAAGTTGGATCGAGACCTGGGCACAATTGTCGTGTAGGGATTGGCAACTGGCTCCCAAGGGGGACTTGAGGAAATCGTTGAATGACAACGATTTATGAAGCAATGAAAGGGAGCAGTGGGCGACTGGTTGCTCGAAGCTTCGCCTGTTTAGGCGCTCTGAAAGCCACGTGCCTCAGACTCTGCTAAAACGATGTGTGTGATCCATCGAGTGATACAAGTGCTTAATTTGCCGCTTTGACACCGGGACAACCGTGCGAGTTTTTTGCCTTCTTGGCACAGTGAACAGGAAGAGGTGTTTCGCCACCTCAAAATTTCAAACGAGTCCAGCGTTGAGATCGCCTTGTGCTTTTCATTTGTGAGATTTGTTCAAGGAGGCTTCAAAGATCGACGGGTGTTGGTTGATGACGAGGCAGGAAGTTTGAGCAAACGTGCAAGACATTATGTGTTTCGGAGAAAGCACGTGATCTTAGATTGCTAGAGCTGCCCCTTCCTCTCAGCTCATCTGAGATTCTTACTTGGCCAAGCACTTCGTCCCTTCAAGGTCGTTCACGCCTGCTCATTTCATAATTGTTTACTCGTCCGTTCAATCAACCCGTTCCCTTTTGAGCATTGCTATAATTTGCTCATCGCCTTCAGCTCGTCTTTCCAAGCCATCTAATCGAATCTTTCTTGGGCTGACTGATCACGCATATGTTGTGCGTAGCTCGATTAGCAGGCCTCTGTAACCAACCCGCTTTCCGTCCCCGTCTTTTGTGTTTCCGTGCTTCCGTCCCCTTCCAATGTTTTTTTCATGGTGTGTTTCGTCCATATCCCTTTGCGAGACCCGACAAAGACGCCATACCTCTCAGGTCCTCCGAAAAGCGATCGTTTACAAGGCCTTCAACACGCTGGGAGCGGAGATCCTAGGCGACCCAAAGATCGGCGGGCTGTCCAAAACCGACATGCTGTTTGCGGGCCCAGCGGAACCGGAATCCGCCAAAGCAACAGTGACCAAGGTCATCAGCGACGTGGGATTCCGTCCGGTCTATGTCGGACCTCTGCGGTATGCCCGGAATTTGGAGTCCCTCGCGGAATTGTGGATCCATTTGGCGGTTAAGTTTGGGGCGGGGGGGACTTGGAGCTGGGCGATCGAAGGGCCGTACGACCTGAAGTAGGGCACGGAGACGCCGTCTTTTGTGTATAATGTAGGTTATCACCGTCCACTGTATGTACGTCATACATTACCATGCTAGGGTGACAAGTGATTGGGCCAGCTTGTAAGATGATACCTTTTATGGCTTGTATTTGATAACGCAGCCGGTGCAACGCTATGCCGGCATGCAGTGTGTTGGCCCACCTACGAAGCGGGACAAACCGACCAAAGCTACATTTCTTAAGGAAGTTGCCGCCGCCAAATGCAGTGGATCTAACAGACTCGTAATTGTTAATACCTAACATCGGATCTCATAAATGATTCGAAATTAATAAAGCTTCATAAAACGCCTCATCAACCCGCGTCAGATGCATTCCATCGTTTAAATATGCATGAGCCCACTTAGTACACTTTTCATGTGCATGCGCAATCTTCACCGGATCATACATTGCAAGCCGTAAATTTGCATTCAAATGCAATGAACTACGGTCACTGCCATCATGGCACGGCTGGATAAGTTAATTCATGCAGAGCTTTATATGCAAGTTGGTGTCCATGCAGTACGTATGTATTGCAAGATCTTGTAGACAAATGCGCGATGTCAAATCAATCGCATTGATTTTGCAGTACGTACTACGTGGGTATCAACGAATACCCCAGCTCCGCCAGATTAAACGTTGAAAATTTGACGATCATATGTCGAAAGGTAGGAGCTAGAATGGCGACTAAGGCGCACGGATCACATACAGTGCACGGACCTTTGATAGTTAAAAATTGCATCGTCCTTATCTGATCTGTAAGAACCTGTTCTAAAGCTGTGGATAAGTCTGTTGCATGCTCGAATATTCTACAAAACTTGAGGCCAAAACAAAGTCGGACGAAGCCGCTCGAGCAGGAACTTGAACCTGCTTTCTAGTTGGGCATATGGATGACGCAACGCAGGCAGTTTCCGGAAGAAAGCAAGTCAAAGGCCTTGTTGATCTCGGAGAGGGGCAGCTCATGCGTGACGTATTCGTCCACTTTGATCTCCTGCACAGTCCATTTGGAGTTGTTACCACATAAATATTCTCTTGAAATATCACGCCCGAGAGGTCACTTGCCGGGTTTTTGAAGATCTCTCCACTACGTGAACTCCTTCAAACAACCGCATACGTAAATTGTCAGCCCACATTCAGTTCAAGTCGCAAGAGCAGCCTTCGCTGGTTCTCGGCCACGTCCGCTTATAAAGTGGGCGTTCCAAAGTGTCAGCACTGACGTCATGTCACGGCGACTGATCCAATGTAGTTGGACTTGAGCCAGGACTTCAGCCGTCGCCGCGCTGGTCACCGGCTCGAAACCCGGCACTTGACGTTCGCGATTATCACTCAAATTTGCGTGAGACCCCCTGCCGCTAACCTCGGCCGTCCGGCGTTCCGCGGAACAGAACGCCCACTTTAAGAAAGGAAGGGAGGCCCTGAGCGGCACACACGCGCTGTTTGGAAAGAATTTGCATGACCACGTGGTCCAAAAACGGAGAGATCTCTAGAAGCTTTTTTTCCTGGGCGTTCCCATTGCGACGGTGCCCTTTACTTGCACGCAACGGCGATCTGAGGGCGGGATCAATGCCCGCATAGCTAGCTAGTGTCCACAAGCTCTCCTGAGCCGAGCAGACTCGAGACCAGATTTACAAACGGACGGAACTCCGCAGGAACCAGAGGCCGGTCCTTCAAAACTCCCAGAAGTAAATCATTGTCTTTAGCTTCATCCTTGAATCCCAGTGCACGGAGTTGAATAGCTACGGCGACAAGGCGTCGAACAGAAGAAAAGGACCGCTGTGGACAAACAGATCGAAAACAGGATGAGCAGTAGTCTGATTGGTACCTTGTTCATGTACAGTTTGACCAGGTCCGGTACGGACGTCCGGCTCTTGAACCCCCCAAACGCGGTCCCCTTCCACACCCGTCCGGTGACCAACTGGAACGGTCGTGTTCGAATTTCTTGACCCGATCCCGCCACCCCGATGATCACTGACGTACCCCAACCCTGTCATGGGATTATTTTGGGGTTTGAGAGTTGAGCATACTCCTGACGATATTGGGCGTCCGAAGAGAGCGACAGTTTGATTTTAGGGGAAACAGTTGTCGGATCCATCTGACATGTCCAACTTGCACCAACCCTGAGACAGGCAGACCGCCAAAGACGGACACAGCTGGACACAGTATGGAATCGTGGCGTTATTGTGGAACTTTTTGCCGTCAAAAAATGGAGGCTTCAGAAAGGGTATCCTTATCAGTAAAGGGTTCCGCTCCTTTTGGCCTACTTTCTGGAACGAGTGGGCTGACCGTAGCTAAACCTCGCAGACTCAGATTGCTACATGCAGATTGGACAGCGGCGAAGGGATATTGGAAGCTGTGCACTTCTGCGACCCGCCTGTGAGGGTACCAAGCTTTAAGATGTTCAAATCTTGAACCTTCCGAGTTTCATTTGAGCCACAAATTTACAAGTAGATAGCATGCGCTCAAAAGTTTCGACTATGCTTTTAACGACTGTCGCGCAAAACGACGTCATCTTTACGCGATTCACGAGCCCACAGCCGCTTCAAGAACCCTGAGGGTCCACTATCTCCTTGCTGTATGACGGTTCACCGTTGATATATCCATGGTCATCCAGCCGACCAAAAACAACTACGGAAGAGCAGCGAGCAAAGAAAGAAAGTGCAAGTACGTACTTTGTGGCAACACTCGAGCGCGGCACGCATGGTGTCAGTCTTGCCAATGCACTCGAAGCTGTAGTCAACGCCGCCGTCCGTCTTCTCCGCAATCACCTGCACGTAAGCAGTCAGTCAGAGCGTTCCCGAACACCGCAATTGTTCCACTTTGTGCCATCTGCAAAACGAGGCGTGTCGAGAACAACCGCCGCTCTTTGTCTTTAAAAACGGTTTCAACCATTGGTAAAGAGATGTCGTCTGGGGTTCAAGGATCATCGTTTCCTTCTCGGAACTTTGCAAACCGCGGGGTCAATGTCCAAAGCGCATCTCAATCACAACCAAAATAACGCACATGGAAGGAATCGTGATAGCTTTGGAAGATTGTCCTCGAGGTGGCACAAACAGAGCAAAAGCTTAGCAGTGACAAGAGCTGTATCTTGGTGCACAGGTCCGACGCAGTCTGACGTAGGCCAGCAATTCAGCAGTAGCTCTACTTAGATGAGCACGAACGAGAGGGACTTCCTGTGATTTTGCCGGTTGAAGCTAGTAGGCACTAAAAACCTCTTAGTCTAAATCTTCCATTGCGCGTGGTGAGATGAACTTACCTCCTGGATCGGCTTGTCGAAGTCCTTGGGATTGATAAACTCGGTGCAGCCGAACTCCGTCGCTGGGGAGAAAAACAAAGCTTCCTCGTTACTGTCGAGTAAGAAGGACGTTCCTTCCCAGAAAGACGTCATCCCGGGAATCGGTAACGCAATCGCGTTCGAGTCAAGCACGTGCAGGACAGCAGGTTTCGCGGTCTAGCAAAACCGTGATGACGCGGAAAGGGCTCAGCCCAACGACAAAATGATGATGCGGGAAAGATAATGTTGGCTTGTGCTACAAGCAACTGCCTATGTCTGCACAAAGAACCAATGTTTCCCGAGGCCTTACCCCGCTTGAACTTGTTGATGTCGATGTCGATCCCAATGACCCGGCTCGCCCCCGCCTTCTTAGCCCCTTCGCAGCACTGCACACGATAGCAAACAACAAGTCGGCAATGATAACCGCTAAGATTACAGCTTTCCCCGAAACCCTGCCTCTAGGCCCAAAGTCCTTAGAAGAGTAGAAGATGACTTGGAGATCGTACGTGGACATTTTGTTAACGAGACTAGAGAAATCTCCTGCAACACAAGGGAGAAACCTAGCGAAAACTATCATCAGCTTCTGTTGCCACGCTGCAAGCTTTTGTTGGCTGGCTTTAATTGTTCTTGTCTTCTACCTTTTGCGGAAAATCGACGAAGCAACTGGGACGTCCTGTGGCACTGTCAACGACGGAAGCAGATGATCTGCAAGAGGATTGGCGTTGGGGCTCACTGCGAGGCCGACAGTTCCCAACCCAAACACAGCAACGGTGGCGCCCTTTTCGACCTTCGCAGTGTTCCAAACCGCTCCGAGCCCTGCAAACAGCGGAAGAACGATTGTGTGTTAAAATTGACGAACGAGAAGTTGGCACAAGGGTGCGAACTTTCAAGCAAGACAACGACATCGAAGGATTGGCTGTGGCAAAAGCAGATGTCAGAACTAGGCACGTCAGCAACAGTAGTGACTCGCGACCTTTTTGTTACTCAACTGAGTCCGTAATATCTGGAGAAAGTGCAGACGGACACACATCCCTCATCAGCTCCAATGACCGTCCCTGAAGCGTGCCTGTTGAACGGTGCTTCTTTCAAACAAGCGGCATTGTTTCCCATAAAGCAACGGGAAACTTTCACCGATCAAAAGGACGTCTATGAACAACGCCCCATCCTTTCTTCAAGAAGGATAAGGATCACAAGGAGCGCAGGAGCGCAGCGTCAGTCGGGTTTGAGATAGTCAAATGCTCACCTGTGGGGATCCCACAGCCCAGAAGGCACACTTTGTCCAGCGGCGCATCCTTGTCGATCTTTGCGCAGGAGACATCGTGGACAACTGTGTACTGGCTGAAAGTAGACGTGCCCATAAAGTGGTAGATGGGTTTGCCGTCTACGGAGAAGCGACTCTTCATGTCGTGGAGCATGACTCCGTTTCCAGTGGCAGGACGGACCTGCAAACACCAGAGGAGCTTAGAAGGGGACTTTAACAGTGTACCGGAGCGCTTTAGAGATGGCTGAGCAAGAATTGGGTTCTATGTACGCCCTGGATTTCACACTTTTACTTCGGTTTTAGGGGCTGAAGGATCAAGCTTCTTTAAATACTTTTTTTACGAAGGATATGGAACAAACGCAGCCGTTTTGGATGACCAAGAAGCAGAGACAATGAACTTAAGCGGAAATTATACAAAGAGTTGAAAGGCAACACCTTTACAGTCTGCCAAACCTTTCACATTGAAATGATACACGATCAGTCAGAATTGACTGGATCCAGTTGTGAGACAAATGTCCTTGCTTCTGTTGAAACTGAACAACTTGTGCGAATGGAGACCAATCAAGAAGACAAATATTGAAATTAGTGCATGTGTAAGTCATATTCAAAGTCCTAAACCAACCTGGTACCTTGGGACGGAAAGCGGCCCTGGATCCCCTCCCCCATCATCCCTCTTCCCTCCACCCGCTCCCCATTCTCACCTTAGCGCACAAATTCGTCTTGCCTGACTTGCACATCTTGCACTCCCGACACTCCGCCTGATAGCAGGGAATGACTGCAGACAACCAATCAGACTGGATTAGTCTTTGGTTATGGGGCTTAGCTTCAAACTGTGTTCAATGGGGGGTATAAGAGAGGTAAGGCAGTGAAACTATCATGCCTGGCCAGCCCAACAATCAACTGACAACCAGCACTTATCCACTCAAGAAGCGGGCTTTTCAAATATTCCTAGGGACAGATTATTCCGGCAAGAAAATAGCAGCTGCTCGATCCAATCCATCTATACAAAAGCAGGGGCCTCTTGTCTGCTGGAACTCTGCCTAAACTGATCATTCACGAAGAGCGACTGATTAATTAAAAAGGTAACTAATCATTCAGGACTAATAAAATAGGGCACCACCCACCATGATCCCCTGGCTGCACAATTGTGACCCCCTCCCCAACGCTCTCAACGATCCCCGCTGCCTCATGGCCCAGAATGCAGGGGAACAGCCCCTCGGGATCTTCCCCGGACAGCGTGAACTTGTCAGTGTGGCACAGCGCAGTGTGCGTGATCTTGATGCGCACTTCCCCAGCCTGAGGGGGAGCAACTTGGACGTCGATAACTTGTAGGGGCTTGCCGGCCTCATAAGCAACGGCAGCTGCAGGGGCATAAGCGGCAGTGTTAACATCAAAGATTGAGATGATGAGCAACATGATCAGCCTTACAGGAGAGGAGATGATGAGGCATGCATGAACTTTTAGGAATCAGTCTGAGACCAGGTCACAGTATCTGAGAAAATCTAGAGGTGCAGCGAGAGTGACGTCTCCTACCAAGATTGATGTTAGTCCTTTTGAGAAATCGTGCAATGAAATGTGGAAAATGTGGAAAATTGGTGCTACAAAGTACTGGCGCCTGTCTCATCAACCAAAAGGTCCTCGGTGTGCCACCAGAACTGAAGTGTGAACCGAATCTCTAGGTGAAGAGAATTGGCAGCATCATCAAAGCTATGACTTTGCTTGAGTAGAAGCATTCATCTGATCTGTGTTAGTGTAGCTCGGGGTGCGTCCCCCTTGTTCACCACTAAGGTCATCGATGTGCCTTCTCACCTTTACATGTGATAGTCTTGCCCATGGTATCTGTGCTCGGCGCCATGTTTGCTGATGCATGCATGCCTGCAGCAGCCAAAATGGAGAACCCGACTTTTCTGGAGTCGATTCTCCTCTCTAATCCAAAAGCTGGCACTGAAAAAGTGTGGTTGGGACTGGATGCGAGAAATGAAGACTGGCGCAGGCGTGCAGGCTGATCAATGAAAGCAGGGGCGAAGAAAGAGCCAACTGGCTGAGACGCTTTGCCTGCTCTGTAGCCGATCGAGGCAGCTTGTCTAAATGTGGCACACCTCGCAAGCACAGCCGCCATTCTGGAGAGAGGGCGTGAGCTGGCAGTGGCAGATGTCTTCAAGAAAATGGTGGTACGTGGAAAAAGTACTGCTTTTAGGGTTTCTGGAGAACTCTAATATGCACATAACTCTGGTAACCCTGTTGTGCCTTAACTTACAACATGCGCCCGGGGGACGCCTTGAGTGATAAGGTTGTTAGGGTGGGTTTGGGATGCAGAGCGCGTTAGGTTCCGGGTTAGAAAAGTGGGTTCTGTTTGCTCGGGGTCTGTGAATCTTGGAACTGAATCAAACTGAATCAGCTGTTATAGGGCACACAACTTTAACAACTTTTAGGGTTTGATGAAGCTGACATCCTTCTCCAATGCCTGCATTTTCAGTGCGTGCAGCATTTGCATGGCGTCTGAGGGGGCGTTCTAGAGCCGCCACTGCAGTTATTGCACCATGAGCATTGCCTCTGCCCGCCTCTGCATCAATGCTGCGCACGAGCTGATCGGCGCACGCTTTCCTGGCGCAAGCACGTCGTTGCGCAAAGGCGCATTTGTTGGGGCGTTTTCTAGGAGCTCAAGCAGTCTGCATGTAGCAAAAAATTTCTTTTTTAGCAGGCCAAGAATCGCTGAAGTTCCGAAAAGTCCTTTTAGCACCTTACTTATAACGCCTCAACTGAACAGGGAGGTACAGCCAAGGGGCTTCTCTGCGAGGGCAGCTGCTACTGATCAGCCACCACAAATGGCGGCCCCAAAGGAGATCAGCTCAACAAAGCAGTTTGGCGGCTTCAATAAGAGATATGAGCATGAAAGCAGTACGATTGGAGTGCCTATGAAGTTCACTGTGTACTTTCCACCGGCAGCAGAGAAGGGGAAAGTACCGGTGAGCGCCTGAACAGTACCACAATCTGGGAGGGAGGAAATGTTTCTTGACTTGCTTTCAATCACCAAAATGGTTAAGAATCCATGAGCCACTGATGCAGATTATTCTCTGAAGCACATTCGCTCCGCTGACGAGGAAATATGAGTGACCAGTTGACACCCTTGCCTTACTCTGAATTCCCTTCTGTGCTTCCAGGTCCTCTACTGGCTGTCTGGGCTCACATGCACTGACGAGAATGTCATCCAGAAGTCTGGCGTCCAGCGCGATGCTGCTGAGAAAGGAGTTGCCATCGTGGCTTGCGATACATCCCCACGTAAGGAAGCCCAATGGCATCAAGTTACATCTTCTGAGCATATCTAGTCGTAAGATGCTAGATCAGACTTTGAGTAACGCCGCACCACTCTCTTGTTCCAAATTGACAGCTGATTCTGTTGCTTAAAATGATGCCATGTGTCACAGCGGTATCACTCAAAGTGCTCCCAGATTTGATCAGCAGGTGCGACTTTTTGAAAGCCAGCCGATGATTTGATTGATTGGAAATTGCAGGTGGCTTGAATGTGGAGGGGGAGGCTGATAGCTGGGACTTTGGAGTCGGTGAGTCTTGGCCCTACTCGTCGTTCTTTCGTCATCCATGTGATTGGGGTTGAGATTTTTGTAGAATGCCCTGTAAGATACTCTCTTCCAAACCTCTGTTAGAGGTTAAGGTGAACCTTAAGCACCGTTTTGGCCCCTTCGCTGGATAGTCTTTGAACACCGACATTCCCAATGTGAAATTTGAGAGAACTTGATGGTCAATGTTACCTGCCTACAGCGACTGGCTCAAAGGTGGCAACTTGTTCAGTCAATGGTGATGTTCTGAAAAATGAAGCTCCGTTTTTGTAGAGCGTACATCAATTCGTAGTTGATGATCTAGGCTTATTCACGATTCTTCGTGTCGCAGATTATCTTTCAGAGTTGCTGTCTCATGATGCTGTCAACAGAACACCAGAAAGCACTACAATAGTGACACCCGGTTTCTCCGATCCTTCTTTTCAGAAGACCACCATGAACGACTGGCTTCACAGGAACGCGGCTTGAAAGGCCATCAATCTCAAACTACTCCCCTTCATCTCAGGTGCCGGTTTCTACCTGAACGCTACTGAGGACAAGTGGAAGGCATGGCGGATGTACGACTACGTTGTCAAGGAGCTGCCCGAGCTTCTTCGGACGCACTTTCCTCAGCTGGACACCAGCAACGCGTCCATTTTCGGACACTCCATGGGCGGCCACGGCGCGCTGACCATCTTCCTCAAGAACCGTGACAAGTACAAGGTGGGTGTTGCGTTTGTTTCTGGGGTCCCGGCCTTTCATATCCGGATCGAATCAACCTAACAGAGGGAGATGATCAAACAACGCCATCATCTGCTCATCTGCACGAAGCAAGGCTAAGCCGCAGCCAAGGTCGAGTTCTGCCCCAGGGTACGCCTGTCGCTCATCATGGAGTACAGTAATTATTTTTTCGGGGCAGAAATTCCAATCATTTTCGGTCGAATTCTTTTGTGCAGACGGTGTCCGCATTCGCCCCTATCTGCCACCCCAGCAACTGCCCCTGGGGCGTCAAAGCCTTCACAGGGTATTTGGGGTCGGACAAGTCAAAATGGGAGGTACGCTTGAGTTCTGCAAAGTGCTAAAGCCTCGTGTCAGCTTTGCCGTTGAGTCGTAGTCACAAGGTCCAGCCTTTGATTGCAGTACCATTCGTCCACTGGAGGCATTGGTCCGACAGAAATGCCGTTGTGTCGCTGGAGCTGTAGATTCCGAGCCAATCGGAAATCTTACTTTGTTTTTGACTGAAACCGGAGAACTTTTCAAAACAGAAGACTTCCATTTCTACTCGAATCCAAGTCTCGAGGTCGTCCAAATCTGGACAGCATGCTTCAGATGATTGCGTTCAGTGCAGTCTGCGGGTTTTGGCGTCTTCTAAATTCGACGCTCACTCATCAATTGCGTTTGCAGGAATACGACGCTACCGTGCTAGCGCAGAAGTTCAGCGGCAACAAGGACTTCCATATCTTGATCGATCAGGTAATGTCGTCGCTTGACTCCCTGTCCCGTCGTCATTTCCTGTCATGAAGTTGTTTTCCCGCCCAGTCAAGAAGCTGGTCGTAGAGTAAAGCTCCTCGACTACTGGCTCAAACTTCCCCTTGACCCTTTAGGCAGATTCTGAGTGCCCGGCTTCTGCAATAGCTTTGAAATTGGTCCACATCCAGAGTATGATGGCCTTTTAAAAACCGGACAAGTCTTCGCAAGGACAGTTTTATGTCGTTATTTCGACATCCGCCCATTCTTCACTTCGAAGCCAAAGCAGCCCTTCCCACCTCCAGACTATTTGTCAAGGACTTCTTTGCGGTGGTATTCGAACAGTTTGCTCTTGGCAAGCATCTTTAGGTCGTCGTATTCTTGAGGTTTCTCATGTTCTGCAACGTTCCATTTGCGTTTTGCGCAGGGTTCACAGGACAACTTTTTGCACCAGAAGCAGCTGCTGCCTGAGGAGTTTGCCGAGGCCTGTAAAAGCAATGGCATCGGCGTCAAGTTGAGAATGCAGGACGGATACGACCACAGCTACTATACCATCGCGACTTTCATGCCGGATCACATCACCCACCACGTGAAGGCTCTGACAAGCTCGTGAGCTATTTTGTCACCGTTCCATACTAGATTCGAGCTAAAGCCGATTCGGGTCCTTGCACAAGGTGCCACAAGTCATGAAGGAGCGACCGTCTGTAGACGGCTTGGATGATTTTGACATTTCGACGACTTCCTCATCAAAAGCCAGGAATTTGTTACTTCGTTCTGCGTGCAAGCTTGTAGGATAGCTGCGGTATAAGTGTATGCAGTGACCCTCATTGCTGGGACGCATTTCTGGCCTGCCACCGCGGTTCACTGATGGCTCAAAGCTATCATTCATCCGATTAGCAGACGTTACAATGCCACAGTGGCTGCATGTTCGTCAAGCATATGCACATGCACTTGCATGATCATTTCTAGTGCGTACGTGTAGTATGCCAGCACATTGGTAAGATGTTGCATAAGCGTGTTATGTGTATCTTAGTCACTGCGACGGTGCTCCCTACTGCTGCAGTATAACATGAACTGTGGATATCATGACATATTGCATGTCTGTCATGGATGGCGGTGTCATTAAGTCTGCATGAGAGATTGCTTTGCCTTCTCGGCCACATTCACACGTATCGGCTCACTCAGTGAGCGGATCCAAATATCCAACATATCCAATTAAAGCCGCAGATCAAATTTGCATGACTGAGCACAAGATGCTCATTGATACAGTAACCAGCGGGATTTATCTAGGTTGAAGGGCCTGCATTTGGCGGCAGCTTAGGCATGGGTGACAGAATTCAGAAAGCATCATTGTTTGCAACTTTCATCGTGAACCACAAACGCCACCGCCAACGGCGGGATTGCAAGAAAGGCAACATTAGTTGGAAAGCGACGTCAGAACTTTGTAGCTAGCAAAACCTCAGGAGCTTTGTGTAGGCCTGCGTCATGTCCCAGCCCGCCCTCCTGTCATGTAGATGATGTGCTTTACATCGTCAGTCTGCTGTTTGTTCAGTGCAGTTAATCTCGTGCGGATGTCAAATCGGTAAGCTCACGCAGAACCTTCGGGAATCTTGCAAGGGTTCAGCGCTTGACACTGCTTAATCCGCCGATGAAGCCCGTCCGTTTCTTCTCGTCCGTTTCAGTCGACGAAGTTGGTTGCTCCCGCTCGTTCGACCCCTCTCGAAAACCTAGCTCCTCTAAGTCTTGCTTCGCCATCAGATTACTGCATCGCATGAAAGTAAACTCCTTGTAAGAACAACTGAAGATTTTGTGACCAACTGCAAGAGATACTGGAAACCTTCCAAAGATTTCTTCCAAACGAGTAACTCGTTCCATCTATAGTAAGACAGTTGCTGTTTGTAATTTAAAGAGGTCCTCTCAACCTGCGGGCTCTGGATCCCTTGAATTGAACACTTCCGTCAACAAACGGTTTGAAGCATCGCGTTTATGACTGGGCCCCACTAAACGAAGTGGACAGACCTTCGAATGCGCTCCATCGACCTTCCAAAATGGTGGATATTGCGTTCAACAAGAAGCTGAGTTCCCCAGCTAAACTGCCCTCCAAATGTTAGGCAGCCGTTTTCAGAAGGCCTTACCGCTCCATTCGACATTGCAGGTACGTTTTGGAGAGCTCCCGGCAGGGCTCCGACTGGCTCCCATGCTCCTTCAAGCAGGCCATGTAGGCCGCCATATGCTGTCAAGGTATCAAAACAAAACAGCAATTCGTTGCCAGGCATCTTCGTGGTTGGTCTGATCAGGTCGAAATTCAGGAGCAACAAGAGAAATGCAAGAGACGGGCCTCACATACACCTTTTGCCCAAAACTGACCAAAGAAGATATTAAAAGCCGCTTTGTGCGTCTTCCTTATCGACTGAATTGAAAGCAAGCGGAAACTCTGGTTGAGAGCTCTGAATCGATGGCTGTTTGTTCAAAGGTCAAGGTCTCTCCTGAAGGCAGTATTTTCCGTAAGCCAGCCACATAACGCTACGACACCAGCTTTTCTGCCTGCTCATTCAAGCTTGTTTTTGGACTGGTGTCTTCTTTGAAACTGTTCCTTTCCTTCTGCTGTCTGCGAGGAACAGCACGCTACACAAGGAAGGACCGAGCTTGATAGATTCTCACTTCAAGTCTTTGAAAGAGAAAGACACACACTTAAAGACGCTTGTCTGAAAAGCTGCAAACTAAAAGCAGGCGCCAGGAATGGGCCCAGGTAATTTGTGGTTGACACTTAATCCGACGTTTTGGCTGCAACCAATCATGCTGAAGAGCAGGCAGCAAGAGGTTTGACATGACTTCCTCATGAGCTTCTGGACTCCAAAGTCACCGATCAGAGAAGCAAGTAATCATATCTATCCTCAATTCACAACAAACAACTTAGACCAGCCAGCATCTTGCCCAAGCTCCAACCAGGACGGGAGTTGCCACTGTCATCAACCACTTTCCAGCTGAGGCATTGTCAATAAGCAGCTTCAGAAAAAAATGAAGAAAGTCACTTGAGCTGGTCAATCAATTCAATCATGTAAGACAAAGTAGTAGAGGGTAAGACAAAGTAGTAGAGGGGAGCAGCGGCTCTATTGAAACTCCTGGACGTGCGTACCTGCTTGCACTCCCCAAAATGATCCAGCGGAAAGACTCCCTTCTCAGGGGGTTGGGGCTTGAGGCCCCGTGCCCCTCCGAACTGCCCCCCGGCGCTCATGCTCCCCGAGCCAATATCATCATAGCCTTTCCTTCATAGGTGCAATAATGTGCACAATTCTCAGCCCCACCAGCTCAGTATTGCTTGAAAGAGTTTCCAGACGGCATTTGAAATTGAGCAGAATCAGGTATATGCTTATCAGTAAGCCAAGTTGTTATTCTCAGATTCGTGGTGGATTCGGACGTTGATACGAGCACAATCGCCACCACAATCGCCACCGAATGTGCTGATGCAGCAGCCGCCTGCAGTTTCTATGGAGAAACTACCTAAACTGGCTAAAGAAGTAAAGAAAGCGATTCCTTTTCTTTGAATACTATATGGACCAGGGTCGTTGAAAAAGCTACATAGAAGTAGTACACATTCCACCGTAGGCGGCTTATCCAGTGCCCGATCCAGTGCTTGCCCAGTGCATGATGTTTGCCGCCGCCTCCGCCAGCCACATTGGGTTTCAAACTTGTCTCACCTGCGCTTGCATGAGAGACGGCTTTCACCGTTACCGCTTCTCACCCTCACGAAGTTTCTAGCTCCTGACTGCCTCAACTGAACTTGCTGTTGAAACCGCCGCCCGTGAAGCGCCGTATCTTGTCGAAGAGGCATCCATTACCGCTCCGCTTGCGAGTTTGCTCATCATGCCTGTTTTCGCAGCAAGCCAAATGAAGTTCGGACTAAAGTCTGAGCCTATCATAGAGTGCCACGTCATACCCCCGGGATCCAAAAGTCTGGAACGGTCGTACCACGGGTCGAAACCTGGAGTGTGCGGACCCAAGTGGTCCCAACCAGTCCGATGCA